TCTTCCGAAGTGAATGTTTTGATTTGGCTTATGTTTGTCAGAAGACATAGGAGCTGCTTCTGATTTCCTAGGTTTATCAGCGGGTAATTTCTCCTTACAATTTATTCACTATGTAGGAAAAAGTGTTAAGGATCTGCTGATTGTCAATATGCCACTCGCCTCCGTATTAAACCCTGGACAGTTAGTAGAAGTAAGCTTAAATTCGACAACACGTAAAGCGTAATAACAAGCAGATTTAGTGGAATAGATAAAAACAATATATCAATTACAAAATCGTCTGCACATTCCAAGTCAGGCAGATGACCGGAGGATAGTAGATCAGTTTCCATGAAGTCAGACGTACCTAAGGTATATGCATTAGTGCATCGATAGCAAAAATAAAAGCAGGAACGGTTATAGTGGACCTCCCTTCTCGGTACTCCCTTCACAACCAGATACTGAAACAACACCTTACGGATAAGACTCCAATGCCGACCCCAGTTGAAGATATAAAGTGAGTGTCAGCAGCAGATATGTGCTAGTGTTCCAGGATCTGTCGGAGGGTAAAATATGACCTACATGCCCTCGATCAGGTCTCAAACCTGCCTGGTTTTCTCACCTCGAGCTCCAGTTAGTCATAACACTACGGACCCAAGAATTTTCGACACGATATTAGTCAAACTAATTCCCCCCATATATGATTTATACCCCTATCTTAAAGACTCAGATGGTCAGTGAAAGAAACCAGTCTGACGTCAGGACATCTGATTTTCGTGGACTATCTAGCAACTCCGTCACTCTAATCACCAATTTCTTACTACCATCCTTGAAAAGTGCCGTTGGAAAACTATCTGGTCCTGCTGTTTTGCATCGTTTCAGGTTCCGAACACCGCTCTCAACTTTGAAGATAGTTGGTGGACTAACATCTACGTCCCATTCAGTTCTAGGCTGGTTGATGGGCCAATTGAAGTGAGCTTCAAAGTGTTGCCCCAACCTTCTGGCCTCCTGTAATGAAAAATTATCAGAGTCCCATCCTTTTCGATGACGGTTTCACCAATCATTGTCTTCTTCTCGCGGATATCCTTAAGCAAAAATGACTGATAGATTTGACTTAACCCTGATGGCTTCTTCAATCTACGTCGGTTGCATTCGTTCTTTACTGGAATGAATTTCCTCGAATCAATCAGTTCGAATGGGGTTAGGCAAACCTAACGACGTTAACCAACCTTTGGGTTTAGGCAACCAACTGTCTTTACCGCTGACCTAATATCATGCCAAGTTTTTTTCAGAATGAGCATCGTTTTCACGTTCAGGTAAATGCTTAGCTGTCCCCTCGGTAAATACTTCCTCTACTTTCTCATCTTCCAATCAAGCACAGACAGACCTTACTGTCTCTGGTTTCCCGCGACCAGTAAGGTGTAGACATACACGTCCCATCAACAACACGTGATAAGAGTCCAAACATGTACTCCAGAAAGAGTAGCAATCCTCCAATGATCCTATCCAATAATGGCTCGTAGCAACATGATCTACGTCTATTGTTGGTTTGATGTCGGTGGACACCATGTCAGATAATGTCTCTCCGTATCCTTTAAGCTAGTGTTAGTGATTACCGAACAAAATTGCAACAGACGATCATCATTGTTGGTTCGTTGACATGGAATTCCGTGAATGCCCCAAACTGCCCTTCCAGGATCTGAGCGTTAAAATCGCTTGCCATTATAACTATATGTGAGCGTTTTGTTGAAATGTGGAACTGACAGTAGGATTTACGAGACTAGGAGTGGTGTTTCGATGGCTTGAATCGTTAAAAATAGTCACAGAGTGTGAAGTTGAGGGAGCAGTAAGAGGTGCCATTTTTTAACTCAAACCCTCTTCTAGCCCCCCTCCCTTGTCAAAAGAAAAGTAACATTGGTATGTTATTGCCATCAGACCCTAATCATAGCGTATCAAGTTACACTACAACGGTAATTAGTCTTCGTCCTACCACATTTCAACAGGGCATTCTGGCATCGTAACACCTCAAGGAACAAGTGCTTCAGCCAATGTAGTTCTTTGGGTCATTGTGATATACAAGCCCCACTACCACATCATGGTTACAGCAATCAGTCAGGACTTAATTCAAACAGGTACGATAGATTGTTTGCAAAAGGTAGAATACAATAGTCGAGACAACACTGAAGAATGGGCAGAAGACGAGAAGATTCCGCAAAAGAGAAAACCTACTTGTCTAATGCTGCCAAGTACGGTCGATAAATAAAAAATTGTATAATATCGTGTGGTGTGTTGAACCAGTCATCTTCAAGGTAGTATTCATGATGAGCTGACACAAGTTGAAGAGCCTCTGAAAATCTGCGAGTACCACATGATCCCTTCAAACCATCACCTCTCGGGATTTACTTCTATATGGATTTTCTGAAGACCTAAAGAGTCAACTTAGTAGGGTGTGACGATAAATCCTCACCAATCAGATTGGACGGCGGTCACTTAGGCCGTTAAGCTCCAACACACTGACTGGATAGAGACGTGGGGACTGTGAGGTTTGACAATCCGGGGTCCGACCCGTAAGAAAGTGCACATCACTGGACATTTTATACTAGAACGGAACATTCGTCTAGTACTCTCAGGTTTTTCGACGGTTCTCCGACTGATGTCAGAACATTATGAATACTAACTTTGAAACCAATGAATCCCCATAAACCCCTAACCCACTTATTTGCTGTTATGGATAGACCTTAAAATTTACGCCTACTTCTGTCCATCTCAACCACTGATCGATATTCTGTTCTCTTGAAATGAATTAAAGTTGTAACCAGTTGATAAGACACCAGCGAAACAAAATGGAACCGTTTTATCCTGCTCCCATTGTTGTTCTTGCTCTTTTCAAATCCAATTATTGTTTGGATTATAATGAAAAATGGCATAACATTATAGCTTTTGAAAGTTAACCTCACCTTATCAACCAATTTTTGTCTTGTGTAACATAATGATTTTAAGAAGTAAATAAACTGTATTACACAAAGACTACTCACACTCTTCACAACATTAAATACCTGTAGTTTATCCGCAGCTATAATGCGAATTTTAAGAACTGGTAAGCTTGGATAACTCAGTCATCCCAAAAAAGGATAATAGGAACCATCACAACATTTTCAAATAGTTTACTAATATAATCCGACATACTCTCATGAACGTTTGGACAATGACCCTGAAATTTCATCATCTTTGATGATTATTCGATCGGTTGTGAAAGATTTCAGGGACATGAGTGACTACAGTGAACACCACATCAATGATTAGGAATATCCCAGATGAATCAAGAACATCACTTCACACCTTATCAGAGTATTCCTAAACGACAGGCCTAGCAATAGATGGAAGCGAATTCAAGGCACCAATGGCTTCAAGTTAACTTTCAGACATTTATAATAACCACTAACGGTGATGAAGAAGTAGGTGTATAGTAACTTGACTTATCATGGTTGAAAGGCAGTTAGCCCAACCAACTACAGTGATCTTATTAGTTGGCATCCTATGTTCCATTTACAAATTCTATATGTGTAATTATTGTTCTCTACATAACCTGGACTCACTCCCTATACATACTTCATTTTTTCCAAGAATCCAACCTTTATCCCTTTGCGAATATTTAACTAAAGTATACAGTGTAGATATTACGTCTAATAATTCATTTCAATTTAAAACTGGTTTTACTGCAACTAATAAGAAACCATGATATTAAATGAACTCACCTGAACTGGTTGGAAGCAATCGGTAGGAAGCCCTGATTACTACAGATTTCGTGCTTGTTGGTACCGGTCGGCTGATAAGCCTCTTAGCTTGGTGGCCATATTGCAAAATAACCAATAGAACTTGATCAACAATCAAGACTAGACAACATGAAACTGGTTACTTTTTAGTCACTAATCAATATGCATAACCCAGTTCTACAGGAAGTTAACCACGGGTCAAATAGCTCAGTGGTAGTCAGTCTCCAACTACAGCCCCGAGGGAAATCAGTTCGTATCCCATAGGGGACATCCGTTTGGTGGAGACCTCCTAGCTTGATAACCACACTGCAAAGTTATCAGCAAAATTTGGTCAGCAGCCAAAACTAGACAACGTGACCAATCAACGTATGAAATCATTTCACTCTAAACATTTCTACATATTCTCATTATAGTCAAATCTATCAAGGGAACGAAAAAATGTGTGAAGTATGAATTCTATAGGTTCACAACAAATTGTTGCCACTTTTCTGATAGAATCAGCCATGATGTGACCATACCCAAATAATACGATTCATCATAGTAAAAAAAAAACGCAACTGTTAATTCCTTTCTCACTCGTTCCCGTTTGCCCTATGAGATGTCCCCTTTTTTATCCTCAGTTTTATACTACTTAATAATCTTAAGTAGTATCATTCGTGATCACTTAAAATGTCACTCCACCCGCAGTCGACTATTTATTCTGTTCATTGTATCGGGACCACGTCTACAGATATCAGTAACTTCCATAGTGTATGATGGTCTTTTACTTTCTTTCTTTCTTTGTTTCTTGACGTCCTATTTTACTCTGAATATTTGTTTATCTTACTGTGAGAACTAACACGAGTCTTTTATATTCTCTTCTGGTCGCTGGCCTTGCTGTTTTTACGGTTGAAAAGCCGCTTGTTCGCATTGGTTCCAAATTTCTTGGAAAGAGATTGATTCACAACAACAAATAACATTTATTCAAATAAAGTGTACATCCAACGTGAAAAATAAAAGGTTGGTAATATATTTTCCTGCCTCAAAAATAACAGGTAAGTTTAACCCCAGAAATAATCGATTTCTCTGAAAGAAAAATTATTCTAATTTTACACTAATCTTTTCCCACCGAGATAGAAAAAAATGCAATAAATGCAGCAAAATATAACAGAAATATAAAATCTTCAGAGTAGAGAATGTTGAACAAAAGACCTCAAATTACTTCGATGCTGTAATAACTTTCTACTAATGAGTATAACAGTCTACTAAATTTCACGTTGGAATTCGGGAACGTAAATAGTCTAAAATTGACTCAGTACCTTTAGCAACTATACTCGATCGAGGTACACGAAATGTATTACCATCAACATGAAGTGATCTAAAAAGAAAGAAAAACAAACAATTGAAATAGTGTATAAGCATTCAACTCACAATCACAATGTGTTTACCACGGTTGGAATGCCGCTCCACCTACTTTATGCCTCACATCACAGATATATCAATCCCTCACAAGTAATCAATGCGGTTCATAGACTAGTATATAAATCTGTACCAGTTGGATAATCAAAAAGTATACTGTTTACTTTAACGTTTCCTATAGGTAAATAGCATTTCCAACTGAGCAAATGTGATGTCAACAGGCTTCCTTCCCTTTGTGAATCACTCTGTCAAGGTCACAAAGTATAATCTCTGATACAAGTGATATGAACTAGTGAAACATACTACTGGATGAAATGCGTAATTAGAAACTATTCACGGTGAACAGCAGATTCTTTTTGCTAGATTAGAGTGACCCCAAACACGTGGTGTAAACTCAGCTCTTTTAGAACCGAGTTCATTAAATTCACTGCAGAAAGCTAAACTGTTCAACGCAGATCATTTACAAATTGACCATCTTATTATAGTATACGGTACACCAATTCATCAAAGTCAACCAGCCGAATTCATTTGATTGAAATGGTTAAAGCTATATAAGCTGAATTTGTTCCCATACCTGATTGATGAACTAGGCGTGAAACGAATGAAATGATCATCACTATGATCTGGACAGTGAAATCAGCAAGATAGTGTGACTCGGTCCTAACTACTCATGCTGTTCAGTAGTATGTTCTGTTAATATCTCATCCTGTATTCAATTTAGTCGATCCATTGACCAAGTTTCTTCATTACCAAGCGAGTTATTTTAAATTCCACTCCAGTAAGTAATGAAATAACCAATTAGGTTTATTTATTAAGACTGAAGAGGTAGATTTCCTATCAAATTCTTATAGTGTGGAATAAGATTACCGAAATCTTCATAAGTAGTCGTAAATTGTTAAAGCTTTTTCCAACCAATCGCCTTGCTTCGAAAATTCCAGAAAAAACACGTGAACCAACGTATATAAGGTTGGTTGAAGAGATGAAACATCAATAGGATTTACATCTAGTAGGCCTGGAAATAGCCAAGACCATGGTAATATACATAAACCTTGCATTTTGTACATATCGTTGACGTTGTAAGTAAATACCTCAATGATGGATATTAGTGAAGCTGAAAACGAGTTCAAGAAGCCTGATAATATGACTTATGTTACGTTAATGGATGAGAACAATATTAACCCCACCACGAGAAAGTAAATGATGCAAACATTCAATCAGATCATGTTGATGAAAACCATATCGAGAGTTTCGAAAATTGAAGTTACGTGTTTACTGCCATCCACCATAACTCACAATGAATGTCCACAAAATGTCCTCAAGGAGTACTAGTACAAGTCCAAACACCAACGTCAACAATTACACAGATACTCAAGAGGGTTCAACGCCCCTGCACACCTATCAATTGACATAGTTGTTTCCCACGATAACGGATTACTATATCAAAGACAATTTGTGTCCATACAAGAAAATGAACACCAAGATCGTCTGTAAGCCAGCTCCACTTCAGAAATCACATCCACTAACCAGCAAGCAATTAGATAAAACCCGAATCCACTCAAATTCACAAGTCACTCACAGTACATTAGGTGGTTAGAAGTAATTCATCATCGTAGAATCTTGTCGTGTAGACTATGCAGATTTATAGCATAGCCGGTTATTTCATCATTCCGACCAACTACACCTAAATTACCCTGGCTCAAACTGGACACAAGATCTCAGGCTGTAATCTAAAAAACGGAAGCTCGTTGCCAAACAGAACCAAAACAATATGACAGCACTGCCTGATCAAAAAAGTCTAAGTGAATTTAGTTCATTGACGTAGGTAAGTATTTCTATGATAAAAACCCAACGGCAACGATTAAATACACACAACTGGTTAGTGTGTGAAAGCATTTTTGTAGAATCTGAGTCGTGTAATATTGGAATTCCACATCTAAAACTATAGGAATTGTTTAGTAAGTACCTATCAGTTTACATTTTTTTTAACTGGGGAGGAAAAGGTTCTTCAAATACCTTAATTCAAAATGTCAGCAAATCATTCCCCTCACATCAAATAGCAATTTAGTTACTTTAGACGACGCATCATCACATTTACAGCAGAAAAGTATTAAGGAATAATTTGTCACGACCCAGCGAGACGTTACTAGCCAATCACAAGACATCATGTGCTATCATACTCCACTTCAAGGAGGATGTAGAATAGAATAAGATTGCCAAAACCTGATTATTATTATTATCATTATCATTATTATTATTATTATTATTATTATTATTATTAATAATAATGTCAGTATATTATTCTTCATTTGGGTCCCTAGTGGAACATAGGGCTTCAATAGCACATCGCCATTTCACTCTCTTCTCTGTAGTCTTTTCAACCTGGCACCACCACTCCCCATATCCCCGCATTTCTTCCTCACACCACCTCCTACATGTCACCCTCAGCACAAACGCCCCACTCGATGTTCCCATACGGCTTCCACTCGACGACCTGGTCTCGCGCATCATGTCCCCAAACATTCTTCTCAGTCTATGCCTAGTCCAAGCCATCTCCACTTTCCCCTTCTGCATATTTATTCGACGATGGCTTCTTCGTTGGTCCGTTACCAAACCACAGTTCCTTGTTGCTCATTATTATTATTCTATTCTGGTCATCTGATCTCCATCTTCAGTATCGAGTGAGCGTAAGCAGCAGTCGTTGATGAGATATGTTTATAGTTCGTTGCAAATGCTTTTCTTAACGTCCCAAGTCTCTCAATTATCACACAGAAGCACTGCCTTACTTGAGTGATATTAGTGTTAAAAGTCCAGATCTCGTTCACGCTTTATGCTCAGTGAAGTGCAGTGCAGTGTAGTAGATCTCCACACTGATTTCAGGTTAGTGAAAGTCTGTCTTGCTGTCTCTCCGATCCTGGCTTTAACATCTTCATCTGCGCTGCCACCTGTAGTTGAAACGATGTTGACCTGCGTAGGTAGGTGAAAGAGGCAACTTCATTTAGGTTTCTCCCGTTGATGCTGATTGGTGCTTGTTGTTGCTGGTTGGGTATCTTCATCACCTCCGTCTTCTATAAATTCGCTTGAATTCCGTTTTCGCTGCTTTTTCTGTCAACTTGTTAGTTTTCGCCTGTAGATCTTGAAGCTTGTGCGACATTAGACATAAATCACCGGGGAAATCCAAATCTCTCAGGGTCATCTGTATTATACATTGAGGGGAATGAACAATTAGATCTGGAAAGGAAACAAGTATATTGTGCTGATTGAACTATTGAACCCTTCAGTCTTGAATGATTGGTTATCCTGCTTTTCCGAGTTCTCCGCGTCTTCAGGTAATAGAGAAGTAAATTTCACATTACCCTAACAGAAATAAGAATATTCGAAGAGGAAATCTGACTGACTGTCAAAACATAACCAAATATGGTGGTAATTTAATAGCTGATGCCTTGTATATACCATATAAGACATTCTCACTAGATTGATGAGAATCAACATCACCAATTGACGAATATACACTGTTGAATGCAAAAGAGCGATGTTCAATTGTTATAAGCTCGACGTTTTTGAACTCAACTTCAAATAATGAAGAAATCTTCAAATCCAATTTATGAATTTAGGTGGGTTCATCATTCTGAGGATTATGTGACTAACAAAATCCCTGACAGTAAAACTATTGCGTAAGTGAACTCTTCACCTTTGTATACTGAATTTGACTCACTTAACGCTGACGGCATCGAAAAAAAAACAACATTCTTAAACAGAATACTGACTATTCTCAAACTAACAACGTCAATACTTTTTCGTGGCCGTCGGATTGCTGAAACATTTAAGTAAAGTAACATGAGATAGCCTCCTTGGTTTCAATGCATGCCAACAATCAGGATCACAAATTCGACTAGAAGAATTTGGAAATCGTCTAAAGACCAGGTCCAAAGATAGCAAAGGAATTTCTCATCATCATCAGCAGCAGCATCATCATTATCAACACAGGACCAGGCATTACTGCGTAACGGTCCGAGTTGCCACACCTCATATCAGCACATCAGGTAAAAAGGTAGTGAGGTGAAGAATGAAGATAAGTGAATGCAGTCAAAAGAAATATAATGTACGAGAAGAAAGGAAAGAGGAGTGACAAAATGGTGAGATTCGGTATAGCGTTGTTAAGATGAGGATAATGTGTGTATACATCTGCACCACTCACATCGGTTCTCAGCCATGCCATCACCTACAGTCTCCAACCACTGGTTCCTCTTGTCCCACGAACAGACACCAACCACCTAGTCTGCATCGTCCTACATGGCTTAAACCAACAGTCAGAGACTTCATACATTGGTACCATGTTTTAGTCTGGCCACCTTGGGCCTTTTTCAAGCCTGGACCCACCTCAGCCAACATTGTGTGACGAGGCAATCGGTGACTAGGCATACGTAGTACGTGTCCCAACCATCTCACTCGATGAAGGTTCACAACCTCGTCAACTGACTTACCTCTTCTCCCTAAAACTCTACACCTAACTTCTGCATTACTCACGTGGTGTGGTGACACCACGGAATACGTCCTATACTACGAAGGCAACGGTGGTCAAACAACTGAAGCCTTTTTGTATCCTCCACTTTCAATGGCCATGTTTCACAGCCATACAGTAGAACAGAGTGGACTGCTGTGCAGTACACACGACCCTTAATAGACAAACGAATATCACGGCGGCGCCATAGGTGGCGCCAATTGGCAAAAGCCAATCGAGCCTTTTGTATCCGTGCAGAAATCTCATCGTCAACTAACCCACCGGGGTTGATCCTACTTCCCAGGTAAGTGAAGTGGTCAACACACTCAACCACTTCACTCTCTATTGTTAACCGCGGTACCACTGAAGACCAGTCCTGGAGCAAAAATTTGCATTTGGGTGGTGAAAATCGCATCCCAAACATTCTCAAATTCCCACTCAAAGTGTTCAGAAGACTCTGAAATCTTGTCAGCGTCTTCACCTAACAGGACAATGTCATCATCTAGAAGTATGACATTCCAACAGACATGGAATCGACTCAATCTATAATATAATTGGATAAAAAATCAGTCATCCATCAACTATGGGCAAATTGTTCAAACAAATCAATAACGATGCACAATAGGACATTAATAAATGGCACAATGCCACTTCAAGAAAGATTATCTATCAGTATGACGGATAGAAATGTAAAAGTCAAAGAGGTCAAGGTATGGTAATAAGAATCACTTCTTCAACTTACAATTGGACAACACACAAAGTCACACCATCAAAACATTCGTCTACGAGTCAAATATGCATCACTTCATGATAAAGTTAGTACTGAAAATGTCACTAAGCCTAATGATGAAATATACTTACGACAAAATATCAAAACTTAGAGAACGTTAAACTATCATTATCTTCAATTCTGAGCTACAAATCTTTTTCATCAGTTCAAAGGTGTTAAATCAACAACACTGTAATAAACATCAATCACAATATATACATATATTACCTGATTTGTGTGCACAATCCTAGCTCTACTGGTAGCTGACCAATATTATTATTGCCTATATCAAGGCATTTTAGGTTTGGTGCATTCGTTGGATTAAGGTGTTCATATGTAGGACAAGAGTCCAACTGACATCCACGAACTGATAAACACTCCAACTTTTTAATCAATGGTATTTTGAAGAGTATATCATATGGTAATTGTGAAGCAAAAGGATTTGAGTCTAGGCGTAATGTGATCAGTTCACTTAAGTTGGACAGACACACTGGCAAACATCTCAGTTTATTATTACTAGTAATGATATATCCATGCATCGGCGCCAGATAGGTGAAATTAGAAAAAAAAAAGAAAGGAAAATACAACAATGAATGTGGTTAGAACGAATCTTAAAATATGCATACATAGAGTTAAATGGGAATCAGTTCAAAATAAAGCATATTTACAGGGATCCCCTATCCTCCAGCAGAAATATCTAAGCCATAAAGCTTGTTAAGTCATCTACTAACAGCAGCCTGCTTGAACCTTAGGCTACTAAATTTATCCATTGAAAATTTTTCATCAAATTCTTTCCTTTCAAGGTATCATGTACTCTAGCATATTTTTAAACTATTTCCAACTCTCTGTTTCTCTAAACCATCACAAAGTAGAGAAAAAATATTACGTTACGTGGAAATGAACTTTCGGTGCAAAAAAAAAGTACATCACATTTCTTTCCGTCAGATGCTTAGCTTGAGTTTGAATGAACCGCCGCCACCAAAATTACGCTTACACTTTTGTTGGCTCTTCATTATGAACCCGACACCCATCCAGAACCAGTCGGTTATTTCACATTATTGCCTTGAATACTCTTATTATTAACATTATTCAGATACAATAACCATTTTGTTGAAAGTATTGTTCTACGAGTGAATATGTTGAAAAATCACATTCCGAAAATTCTACACTGTCATACATATTGTTTGGAATGAAGCGATTATCATTTTTATTATTATTCAAGTTATATGCCAGGTGGATTTTCACCACCCAAATGCAAATTTTGCTCCAGGACTGGTCTTCAGTGGTACCGCGGTTAACAATAGAGAGTGAAGTGGTTGAGTGTGTTGACCACTTCACTTACCTGGGAAGTAGGATCAACCCCGGTGGGTTAGTTGACGATGAGATTTCTGCACGGATACAAAAGGCTCGATTGGCTTTTGCCAATTGGCGCCACCTATGGCGCCGCCGTGATATTCGTTTGTCTATTAAGGGTCGTGTGTACTGCACAGCAGTCCACTCTGTTCTACTGTATGGCTGTGAAACATGGCCATTGAAAGTGGAGGATACAAAAAGGCTTCAGTTGTTTGACCACCGTTGCCTTCGTAGTATAGGACGTATTCCGTGGTGTCACCACACCACGTGAGTAATGCAGAAGTTAGGTGTAGAGTTTTAGGGAGAAGAGGTAAGTCAGTTGACGAGGTTGTGAACCTTCATCGAGTGAGATGGTTGGGACACGTACTACGTATGCCTAGTCACCGATTGCCTCGTCACACAATGTTGGCTGAGGTGGGTCCAGGCTTGAAAAAAGCCCGAGGTGGCCAGACTAAAACATGGTACCAATGTATGAAGTCTCTGACTGTTGGTTTAAGCCATGTAGGACGATGCAGACTAGGTGGTTGGTGTCTGTTCGCGGGATAAGAGGAACCAGTGGTTGGAGACTGTAGGTGATGGCATGGCTGAGAACCGATGTGAGTGGTGCAGATGTATACACACATTATCCTCATCTTAACAACGCTATACCGAATCTCACTATTTTGTCACTCCTCTTTCCTTTCTTCTCGTACATTATATTTCTTTTGACTGCATTCACTTATCTTCATTCTTCACCTCACAACCTTTTTACCTGATGTGCTGATATGAGGTGTGGCAACTGGGACCGTTACGCAGTAATGCCTGGTCCTGTGTTGATAATGATGATGATGATGATGATGATGATGATGATATGCGAGGTGAACCTCAAACGATTACGTTGGTAAGAGGCTAAGGTAGACGAGATAAAAAACTATCAGTTTGAACTATGAAAATTGAGTTTAAGATTCATAGGATGGTAACAGCCACTGATATTGGTAAAGATTATGTTAGTGAAACATGTACACCTCAAAAAATACCATTTTTGAAGAACAATAATATCATCTTTTGCATCATACAACATATCCCCCCTCCCTTTTCAATTCATTATCGAGTTTTGATTAGTTCTTTATTGATTTAACTGTATCGTTATCTATCCATAGCTTTTGACGATGTTATATGATGAAGGCCTGGAAGCTCATAGTCCACAGAGATTTACTTCCAACTAATCCATCCAGGGGATTTATTTCAGCCTGCATACAATCAATGGTTCATACATACATACAAGCACATGATTAAGTCGTTTAATCACTTGTTAATATGATTTGTAATCACAATTTGAGAAAATTCTTTCAGAAAATTATGAAACCACACATTAGTCACTGCTACTGAATAACCAAGGGGATTAAAGGATATGTTGTTAAGCAGTGAAATAACTCGTTTGCATCACTGACCTCATATGCAGTTGTTAGGTTGTCCAATATCCTTATGTGTAACCCTATGAACTGAAAGGCTATCATATTTTTTTACTAGGATTGATGTTGAACAAAATCGATATAACGGTGAAATTCAGTCCTACAATTGTTGGATTATATACATGACACCTTGCCAGTTAAGTAGTAACACTTAAACACAAACAACTTTTCAAATTCACTTCAACTGCTCGACGTCTGATTTCTGATAAGCACTTACAAAGCATCATATACCGATTAATCTAAGAGTTGGTAAAATTTTTGATCAATTACAATCCAATTGGATGCTTCTACTTAGAACGAAACAACATAAAATTGGTTAGTATCCAATGACCAATCAATGTATTCAATCCAATCTTACTACAAATCAATAGCGGCAAGAATAGCCAAGTGATAAAGTCTGTGAGTGGAACATTGATTGACATGGGATCGAATCTCTGTGAGGAAATCAGTCCTCTAGAGATTATAAATATATCTTGACAATCTCGACTTAGCTTGATTTTTATACTGTGTTCGGTAGCCTTATTGACCTTGGACGACTACTTTGACCCATATATTTGACCTGCCAATCATAGTAAAGGATTTATGGTAAATCAAATTACTTCACTTGATTAGATTAGTGGAATCTTTTAACCTACACAGGTTGTTTATGAATGACTTTGTAGATTTAAATGCTACTGTAATCCAAGCCTTATTGAAAAATTCTCTATAACGCTTCCCAGGCCCCTTCTTTGTATAGTAATGCTGTAGAGGTTTTGAATTCTCTCTTCATATTATTGTTATTTAGAAATAATCTTCGTAGGTTGAAATCATATTGATGCAATTCAGCAGAATAAATTAATTCAACGAATCCTTTGCAACAACTTCAAAGTCAAATGCTGAGAGGTAGAATAATAGTCGACTACAACTGATAAGGCTGTCCGATTATAAAAGCTTAACTAAATCAAGATTGGCAGATCTAGTCACATGAGGAATCTAAAAAAATTGTCGACCATAGTTATGCATTCAAAATAAAGTAACACCACGCAATAGGATGGGACAAAGTGATAGTCCTTAGTGCGGTAGAGGAAGCGATTGATGAACGAATCTTTGTTTATCGAATCAACACCAAGTATACACACAACAGAAACGACTCAGCACTTGTTCCAAATATATGGAAAATCTTACTATCCATTTCGCAAAGGAGGCGAGGAAATTAAGATGATATAAACCATGTTTCAAAGTTGTGGAGTCATCTTGATATGACTATAGACAATAAACTGTATCCGAAACAAAGTCTAAAAATACGGTTAGGTACTGCACGTTGATAAGTGTGCCTGTCTTCCAGAACCTAGTTAAGGGAAAATATCTGGTCAATACATCAACGACTAGCTGCTCTGAAACCTACCCAGTTTCGTCGGATTTGTAGTTCCCAAGCTTTACATAAGCATCTAATTGTTATGAAGCTAGAATTTCCGACACTTTTCGTCAAGCAGTAGACAATCTGTCACAACTACTGTATAACGGCTAATGGTAATAACTGAGTGGCCAAATCTAATGAAGCTGATTCCTCTGTCATTCTCACACAAGGATACTTTCTCTCCTTTCTTAAAAATCAGGACAATAAGTGATGGACAACGGTAAGGTAGGATTTTCTTCCACCCACTGATGCTTCAGTTAATTTAACCAATAGTCAACACCTTAAATACTTTTAGTGTAAGTTCAACTTGACCTAATACACTTCCTTGTTTCAAGTTTCTCTTACAAATTTAGTTGATGGCTGATACAGCTTCTTATATGTTTTGTACGAAACATATGTATCACGGGTCAATTAGCCTAGCAGATGAAGGTGATGACAAAAGGAAGGTTATTTTTTAACATTAGTCAACTTCCTGTATGAACTGCATATTACAATGAGTAGATTATTATTATTATTATTATTATTATTATTATTATTATTATTATTATCATTATTATTATTATTATTAGTCCCTTGGGTTCCTAGTGGAACATAGGGCTTCAGTAGCACGTCTCCATTTCATCCTGTTCTCTGAGATCTTTTGAACCTGGTTCCACGACAGCCCACAAGCTCTCATTTCCTCCTCGCACGACCTCCTCCATGTCACCCTCGGACGTCCAACTCATCGCTTCCCATGGGGATTCCACTCGAGTAACTAGCCTGACGCGTGATGTCGTCAGTCGGCCTTCTTAGTGCATGCCCAGCCCAATCCATCTCCACGTCCTCCTGCATATTTGTTGAGCGATAGGTTCTTGGTTGGTTCGTTCCCAGAGTTCCTTGTTGTTTATTCTTTCTGGCCATCTGATCTTCAGTAGCGAGTGAGCGTAAGCAGTTGTTGATGAATGTCTGTAGTTTATTGGAAATCCCTTTCGTAACGCGCCAAGTCTCTCAACCATACAGAAGCACTGACTTGACGTTGGTGTTGAAATCCGTATCTTGTTCCACATGCTGATTGCAGTGCAGAAGATCTCTACACTGGTTTCAGGCTAATGAACAATGAGTAGAAGGAGTGTACAAAGTGGAAATACATGAATGACTATATTTCTTCAACAAAATATTCAACATAAATAAAAGTAACTTACCTAACATCTAAACTTCCTAGTTTTGTAAGTTGATCAAGATTTTCTGGCAAACTTGTCAACTGATTATAACTTATATTTAGCGATGTTAAATCTGAAGCAAATACAAATAACCTATGCAGAAAAACATGACAATGAAGATAATGATTGCAATGATAATACTATTAATGAGAGTATAAACAATCTAAAGGTAATAGTTAGTGTGAATATTCAAGCTTTAGAATACGGCAAAGAATGAATACATCTGGACTACTATGACCGATTATCACCCGTGTCACCAAGACTACTCAACTAATGATGCCTTTCATCTCCAGGTCTACATCTCCCTACACGACTCAGAACAACAGTTAGAGACTTCATCGATTGCTGCCACGTTCTCGTCTAGCTCCACTCAACCCTCTTTCAACCTAATACAACTTCTCTTAGCATTGTACATCTAGGTAGGGGTTGGCTCAGCATGTCCGACTTGTGTCCAAGCCACCTCAGTGGATGAAGGTTCATAATATCATCATTCGAATTGCCTATCATTCCTAGTACTGTTCGCCCAACCTCAACATTGCTCATATGATGATTCTACCATACGTGAGCAATGTTACGAAGATATCTATGATCAAAACCCTGTAATCGCTTCATGTCTTTTACTTGCCATGTCTCACAACCATATAACGGGACAGAATGAATTGTAGCGCAGTACACTCGTCTTTTGATAGATAATTAGATATTTCACCAGTCGGCGCCATAGATGACGCAAGTTGGCAAATACCAAACGGTCCTTGTGTATCCGAGCTAAGATTTCATCATCCCGTTCAACCTGGTGCAACTCACCAAGTAAGTGGAGTAATCGACATATTCAACCACTTCACTCCCTATCAATGAATGGAGTATCAACGACAAACCGAGGTACGGAAAATAACGAACAGATAATCTAAGTTTATAGCATAAAAGCTTCTGAGATCAAATAGAATAAGATTAGTGAAGTAATTTAAAAGCTGGTATATTCCATAAACCTACAAAGTTTTCTCAATTTCTATGGTACAAACCGAAAGACCCAATGACAAAGAAAGACGATCGAATAGTATCTAAGTAAATAAACTGCAATAATGTTGACAAACATTGAAGAGAACAAAATGACATTCATCTTTATTTTCTTCTATATGCCCACCATTCAGCGACTACTACATGCTACATAGTTATATCATCTCTGACGCCAACAAGGTCCAGTGTGCTATCCAGATATGCTCTACCAGATGGCTGTGAAACATGGTTATGAATATGGAGAAACACTAGGTAGGAGAGCAACATCGCTTTTGTAGTATTAACAGACAGAAAAACCAATCAATGTAGAACTTTGCACAGAAGTGAATCAGTACAAGTTGTCACAGTTTACCGCAGTATATAAAAGAACAAGTGGATAGAAAAAGAATGATGATGAAAACTCCTTGAAATCGACTAATTCTCTATAAACCTCTAAAATGAATAACAATTCTATCCTCGTTAGTGATATGAACTTCACGAAGTTGTAGTCAAAAGTCATCGTCATGACAATAGATGATGATCACCCTATATAAAGAATTGACAGAAGTTATCAAACGTAGACCATCAGATTCCCATTTAGTGGCTGAGTGTCAACTTATTCCCCATGGACCGCAATGGTTCTCTATGTTTCATCTGTGAGGAGGAAATAATTAAAATTGATAAATATCCCTTTTAAGGGATGAAAATCACTTACCCTTGTGGAACTTGTAGTAAAGAACGATGAAGTAGAAGTAAACTTTTCACAACTGGAATATTACCTTGAGAATTAGGCGGTGTAGCTGCTTGAATCCACTCAGATTGTACATTTAATGACGGTAATTGTGGAATATTAGTAACAGAAGTAGTAGATGATTTCTGTGTCACACCACTCCAATCTAAGATACCAGATGATGAAACAGGAGGTAAATGAATTTCATAATGTATAATTGGATTTTGTTTCTGATCTGACAGCAATGATTTCATTGAAGAAACTACACTATTAACATTATTATCATTAATACCATTAGTGGAATAAATAGATTCCTTGTTCGCTTCTGATTTGACGGTATCTAAACAATTTTTTACCGATTGGAGGGTATACTCAAAATCTTCATCTGATGATTTATGCCTTTGACGTAAAAGTGATTTAATCGCTTCAGTTGAACCCTATCAGTTTGAGAATAGAGATCAAAACAATGGGAATTGGAAATTATACAAGTGAAATGTTGTTGTTCTTGTTTTGTTTTTTTTTTTTTTGGAATAAAATAAAACACCTAGTACTAAAGTGCATATACATCATCCAAGTCATTAGATACTACACAAGCATATCGAAAAGAAATCAATAAACCCAAAGAGATAAATCAATGCAAATTCTGGCACATACACAAGTTTACCACTTTTAGTTTGCTACACTTGATTATAGTATACAAAGAAAAAAGCGAACGGAGAAGGTACGACACTAATGAAGACAATAATGTATAATACAAAAGGCAATAAACAGATGAGTATATACATCTGTATCATACTGACTAGTTTTCAACCATATCAGTCAGAGTCTACAACCAGTGATTCCTATTTACGCAAAGATCACAGTCAGACAACTTAAATCTTCCTACACGGCTCACAATAACAGTCAAACACCTCATAGTTGGCCTAATGCCACGTCCTCTTTTGGCCTCCTATACTTTCTTTCCAACTTAACACACACACACACACACACACACACTTTGGTTAACATCGAGTGTTGGATTATGCAGTGACTCGGCCACTGTAATACATGTCCAAGCCGTCAGACAATGAAGGTTCACAACTTCAAAGAGAAGAGAAATAACGATGAGAAATAATGAATTCTTTACAAAGTGATAAGACACAGATGCATGTACAACTAAGTTTAACTCAGATGGGAGTCTATTTACTAATAAAGGGGGCGGGGGATAAATCCGGTTCAATCAATGATGGAGGCTTGAAAGTTATAATATGAAAACTATACTATGCCCGTCACATTAGGAGTCGTTATCGTAACTCTAATGCTTAGTGGATAATACTCTAGTCTTTGAAACGATTGGCCCTGGGTTCGAGTCTTGGTGAGAACAAGACCACTCAATGGAGGCAAATACATCCAGTTAACAACTCCTAAACAGAAAAAAATGCAAATATTCGATCCCACTGACACCCACTATCAATCACTAATAATCACAGAGTTCAATTCAGGAGAATTTTAACTAGAAATAAGCTTTACTTTCAGATTGTGTAGCCTTGAATAATGTTTTCCCTCATAGATGTGAACTATACGTGAATGAGTCCAGTGATCAATCAGTGGTAAATGACAATGGTCTAACAACCCGCTAGTCTTATCCACTTATACTACTGACAAGACAGCACACATTTTTCTCTTCGGTTATCATTTCTTTCGTATAGACAGAACAAAAGCTGTACTGAGCAGAAGCCCCCATACTGCCAGACTGATCTCAGTTTACACACAGTATGCTCAATAACACAGTCAAAAGTAGACAAGTATCCATCTTAACTCACCTACCTCCAACAGTGTATATCAATTCACCTGTGTTGGTGGAAGCAAGTACATAAAACAGACCGAAAGAAGGGCATCTACTAGATTTTATGAACATATTCCAAGAAATCTGTTCCTGAATGGTAGCAAGATCTTTTAAGAGCGCAATCCCCAGCCACCTACCTCATGGAAACACGAAGTGAAGTAGATGTTTCTCAATCCTTCAGGATAATCAACAAACAAAGGACATCATGTTTATCACGGTTTGCGGAAGCTCTCGCTATCAAACATTTTCAACCTGACCTATGTACTCAGAAGGAGACTGTAATTAACCTTTCTTTACCTTGGCAAATGTGTACAATTTTTTGCATGTTTATGTATACGGTCTTCCCTTTTCTTTGGATTCCATCATCTCTTCATTCATTACTTACTGAATATTAATCACCTAACGATTTTCAAGCTTTTCATGTAATTACGCAACCTATCAGCTTTTAAACAGTCCCTCCTTTTACACTGATTTTCATTTGTTGCCTCTCCAGCCCCACCCCCCACTCCACAGCTCCAGAATTTCCTATCTCATCAGATATACATAGCCATAGATTTCGACTAAAATATGTAACTATCAATCCTGTGTTTCCTTGACTTACTACCTTATTGTTAATCCTAGATTTCAGATCTTCATTAATAACTACATATATGTAAAGTATTTTATGTCATTATTACTACTAAAAATTCATTTCAACTGTAGGCTGTTTGCAGTTGATGAAAAGTTATGAAATAAAATGAGCTCATTTTATTCTGCAATCTCTTTGTTCTTGCATTATTCAAAACCTATCTAATTCCATCTGGAGGTTTGTGGAGGTTTATTAATTCATTTTAGGTTGGGATTCATACTGGACTGACATCATTTGGAGGACCATTAGGAACCTGGAAGTAGTGGACAGCTGTTTCGTCCTAGTATGAGACTCCTCAGCATTGCGCACCCATGACCCCATCCCGCCAAGGATCGAACCCAGGACCTTCAGCTTCCGTGGCCAGTACGTTACCGGCGTGACCGGCGGAACCAAGCAAGTCGAACATGAGAACAGTTACTCAACGACGACATTGGATGTAGGTCGCGCTATATCATGGACCGACAAAAGTAAGAAATGAAGACCATTGGATATCGATCCTGAGGCTCAATGGCAATATGCTGGCCACGGAACCAGAAGATCCCGGGTTCAATCGCTGTAGGATACTGCTGAGGAGTCCCATACTAGGACGAAACAGCTGTCCAGTGTTTTCAGACTTCCAATGTTCCTTCAACTAATGTCAGTGTATGATAAATTTCAACGAAGCGACTTCAACTGCCATATGGATTTCATTTATTCTCTCTATCAGACTTCAGTAAGTAATGAAGACTATCTTCAGATGAAACACGGATCACTATTAAAGGAATATTTGTGGTACCATAATGCTATATTGGCACCACGACAGAAGGTTGACACATTTTCATTGGATGCGAAAAAGGATACAATGGACAGGAGAGTTGGTATTTCATTTTTACTGGAGTAAAAATGACAGGTTATACAGAATGTAATGAATTCATGATTTGTTCTTGGATTTCCTTTAGTTACATATACCGGCTTATTAAAACTGAAGTATTCACACACACACACACACACACACACACACACACACACACACACGTTAGTCAGTTCATATCTGAAGTACAAAATTAGAATGCAACAGAGTCGAGAAAATTGAAAATCTAGGCATACAACCAAGTGTGAAACATGGACACTGTGGCAGAATTCAATTCCATATTAGATTTGTTTATTTGATATATAGCACATAGTGGGTCACATAACATTATTTACTTGATGACCATTTTTGCAGCATACATCATTATTGCTCACAATCATATCAATGTAATCACACTCTTTTCAATTTCTGATTTTAATAGTCCTATCACCTCATATTCTTTCTTTTTTTATTGATAGTAAAGTTTCCCATATCTCTGGTATATGTGTTACGTCATTTCTATTGCATATGTTGCGTGTTGATTCGATGAACAAACATTCAGTAATTAATCTCTCTGTCTCCTACTCAATTATATTAGACTTGACTGCAGTGGTTCTATCTCACCTACCCTATTATGTGCTTGTGCGTTAATGTATGCATTGCAATAGCCGAGTGTTTTTTTTCTAAATTATTGATCTTATTCGGGTCTGTCATTTTATATTTGGTTAAATTACTATGTTCCGATAACCTAACTGATACCGACTAGGCTAGTTGGACCTATGTACTCGACCTCACAGTCATTGTATGAAATTTGGTAGATTAGATTATTTTGCTTAGTAGGGTCTATCGGATTCTCAAGCTGACAAATTTTATATCTGAGTGAGTTTGTACGTTTAAATGCCACTGCCACCCTAATTCTAGCCTTGTTGAAAATCCTACATAACGTTTCTGATGTACCTTCTTTATATAGTAACACAAGACGCTTTGAAGTGATTTCTATTCGTGTTGTCATCATTATTTGTACTCGTATTAGAACCAAGTTGGCAATTCTAGAAATGACACTATTTTTGACCATGGACCGATGTCAACTGGCGAAAGACTTAAAACTAAAGAGGTGGGAGTCATGAGTGCGCACTGCTGAAGAGTCCCGCGCTAGGATGAAACAGCCGTCCCAATGTTCCTCCAACTGGTCAGTCCACGATGAAGGCCAAGTTGAAAAAATCTCTGAATCCCTACAAACCTCTAAATTCAATAGTCTGTTTGGTCATGACGACGATTTTCCTTCCTTTATCCGAGGATAATATGGCAATTGTTTTGTCAGTTATTAGCGATTTCATTGCGTTTCGTCTTTATATCAAAGCTCAGAAAATATGAAACCATCACATGCCTTTTCCCCGCCCCCTCCCCCGTAAGTTCCGATCGAAGTTCATCAATAGAGCATTGTAATGTGACCAATTACGGTTGAAACTAAATGCGAAAAAAAAGTGTATGGATTCATGCAGTAGGTTACACCTACTGAATAAGAGCTAACAAGACTAATCTCTCCCTTACCTTCCCGCAACCTTAGTTATTTCACTTGCTTCACTGCTGAAATGGCTAATTAGGCTTCGGTATTTCGCCTGGAAAAGTACTTTCCCACAAAATAAAGGATTGTAATTGGCTGCCTTATCAGTTGCTAAGGTGGGCTTTAAAGTCATCCGACTTTAAGAGTGACTTTGAAGACCACCCTAGTAATTGATGAAACAACCAATCACACTCCTCTATTCTATGACATAGTCTTCCTAGACAAAATATAGCAGCCTGATTGGTTATTTTGTCAGTTGTCGCGACAACTAAAATAACCAACCAGACTTCTGTGTATTTTATGAAAATCTGCCTTCCCAGCCAAAATGGAGAGCTTGATTGGCTATTAAAGTCGCCCTTAAAATTTTTTCAATGACAAAGTGATATTGGGATAAAGAAAAGCATATTCTGGACAGGGACCAATCAAAATGTACCTTATGTTATCACGTCTACAGTTAAATAGACAGACAGACGGTGAACCAGCCAATCAACAGTAATATTTTAAACAGGGAATTATCTATATATTAGATATATTTTAATTTGGTTTGAGTCTTCGGTCTTTCAACCCTAATGCGCGTTTCTTCACATCCATCATGTCACAGGTCGGAAATCAACTAGGAATTTGTTTGATGTTAGGGGTTGACAGTCAATATCCGTGCATAGTTAACGGCCATAGTATAAAGCATTTCTCGAAATCATAACAGAAATTTATCGACTGTACAAATTCAAGAGGGTATCAGTAACAACTTACTGAAATTATCGACTGTCTAATAGATCGAATTGAATTACAGTTTATAATCAACACCATCAAGCTATCCATAAAGCCAAGTTCAGTAGGTAAACTAAACATTCAAAAACAAATAAAAGTAAAAGAAATCTGAATAAGATTTTAAAACTCGACATTTGATGAAAGTTTACACAAATTTCTTTCAAATTAATTAGTTATCTATAGTATAAATTGATAAGTGAAAGTGAAATCAAAGTCTGAACGACGGCAGGGTTCGAGCCAACAACCTTTTTGCTTATTAATCCAGTAATCTACCCACAGAGATAAAAGATCCAACTGTTGACCATGCCTCACTTTCGTTTCAGTCGCTGACAGTTTCTTCTGACTTTCAATGTAAGAGTGGAACACATTACTGACAACTTATCATCACTGCACTAGCTGTCAAGCCATCGTCTTCCATAGAATTAGAAAGATGGAGTGATAAATTATTATTATCATTATATTGTTTTTCCTTTGGGTCCCTAGTGGAACATAGGGCTTCAATAGCACATCACCATTTCACTCTCTTCTCTGTAGTCTTTTCAACCTGGCGCCACCACTCCCCACAAACCCTCATTCCTTCCTCACACCACCTCCTACATGTCACCCTCAGCACAAACGCCCTACTCGACGTTTCCCATACGGCTTCCACTCGACAACCTGGTCTCGCGCATCATGTCCCCAAACATTCTTCTCAGTCTATGCCTAGTCCAAGCCATATCCACTTTCCCCTTCTGCATATTTATTCGACGATGGCTTCTTCGTTGGTCCGTTACCAGACCACAGTTCCTTGTTGCTCATTCTTATTATTCTATTCTGGCCATCTGATCTCCATCTTCAGTATCGAGTGAGCGTAAGCAGCAGTCGTTGATGAGATATGTCTGTAGTTCGTTGCAAATGCTTTTCTTAACGTCCCAAGTCTCTCAATTATCACACAGAAGCACTGCCTTACTTGACTGATATTAGTGTTGAAATTACGGATCTCGTTCACATTTTAATGCTGAGTAAAGTGCAATGCAGTGCAGTAGATCACCATACTGATTTCAGATTAATGAAGGTCTGTCTTGCTTTTCCGAGATCCTCATCTGTGCCTGTGTCGCCTGTAGTTTAACTGATTCTGCATAGGTAGGTGAAAGAGACTACTTCTTTTAGATTTCTTCCGTTGATGGTGATTGGTGCTTGTTGTTGTTGTTGTTGGTCGAGTATCTTCATCACCTCTGTTTTCTCTACGTTCACCTGAAGGAAGTCCCGTCTTCGCTGCCTCACCTCGCCTCCTCTGCCAACTTGTTAGTTTTCGCCAGTAGATCTTCGAGTTTGTGTGACAAGACATTAGATATGAAGCATCATCATCAGTGAACTAATAATACGTATTGTGCATTTCTGTAGAACGAAAACCGTCCTCCTAGTCATAGGTGATCGTTTATTTAATATTTTTGCAGTTCAGTGAAGTATAAGGTACTGAAGGGAAACAGTTAATGGTTGTGTATTCGCGCACTCAATATCGTTATGTATTGATTAACTTACACCAGTTAATTCACTCGATCACTTCAACATCATTACTGTATCAAGTGTATTTGCTGAGGAAACCCAATAAATTCACTCAAAAAATTACAGATAAAAAGGGAAATGAATATTAAATGCCAAGAAATTATATTTCCTCTTTATCATTCATCATGATTATTCAATCTAATGAAATTCCCACTTTTTATTGCCAGTTTGATTATCTGAGTGAGATAACCATGGTTTGGCAGACTGGTATTGTTGATACTGGGTGATGATTAAAGATGGAGTGAAAATCTGAATCATGGCAGGATTCGGATCAGCAACCACCGTGTTTCCGACTTGCTGCTCTATCACAACCGAGCTAAGAGACCATTAAAATAAGCTGCAACTATTACTTCAGTGAGTGAGCATGATTTTACTTCACTTATGTCTAGATTAACTGTTAACTAGACTAATGGTTGACTGAACTGAATCGGATCAAATAAGCTAACCACTTTCAGCAATATCTAAACTTAAGAACCAGGCAAGAAACAAGAACAACAGATAGTCAGCATTTGAATGAGCGACATCCGAGTCATCGGCCTGGAAATCTACCAAGTGATAACGCGGAGGTCGCTGGTTCGAATCCCGCTGCAACTCAGGTCTCAGTTTCACCTTCACCTTCACCATCATCATCATCATCCAGTGTATTAATAATATCAGTCTGACAAACTACGGTTTTCTTGGATAGTCTTACTTAGCATATTTCGCTTGTTTAATTTCACGTACAAAATTTGTGGGTTAACTGTAACGTCTGTTTATGTGTGTATTTGGATATATTGAAGTGATTTCATGCCCGTTAGCAGTCATCAGCAAGAAATGTCTGCAGATATGAAGAAACTGGTGGTCACTTGATGAGTTAAACCTGCGTTATTTAGCACCGAAGTCAGAAAATTTACCATTACCCTATTCAGAGGATAACTGACTATATCAATTTCGATTATGATGAGTGTAAACAAGCACAAAATCTGGGGTGTAAGTTTTCCTGTCGACTGAACCCCAACATCGAAGATACAAAGATGTGACCAAGATAAAACAATTATGACTTGACCTTTAAACAGCCAATAAACAACCAAGAAAAGTAGGAAGGTCAGTAGGAAACAAACAAATTGCAACAAACTTGATGATTAAAATGTCAAAGCTCATACACATATATGAGATGGCTAGCTAGAATCGGTCATCGCAAGAAGAACTACACTTTTTTTCATAGCAAACCTGTTGGAACGGTTAATACCACGTGCGTGCAACATCAAAAACTCATGCTGTCACACAGACTTCAACGCAAAACAGCCAACGCCACAGTCACATATATATAATCGATAAATTATTCACACCGTAATTAGTCCTAGCAGAATTAGGTCAAATAAGTCGGTGTGACTATGACTTTCTTTCTGACTTCGCTGTTTTCTTGACACTTTCACTCCCCATTCTAACTCTCAACAGATTTTCTTGATCAGATTGGACTACAAGCTTTTTTCTGAGACCAATTTTAACGCTTCTCTTCCCCTCTTCTTGATTTCGAAAATTTTTTAAAATTTATCCATCGCTTTTCTTCCACAGGAGTAACTCTTACTCTCTTGAACTAAGCTTTTTTTTACCACTTTCCTACTATTTCGTCCGAACGCCGAGGTTTCAAAGCCAATTACACAGCCAACTAAGGTTATATCCCACCAATCTTTGCTACAATTCACGGCTATCTCAGCCATCAACGACCAAAGAAAATGGACTCATCACTGAACTCAACGCCACTACAGCCATCCTACAATAACTAAGATATCTGACAACAACTACCACAAAGATCTAACCATCATACCCAACAGCCTCTTCCGGATTTTCAAGCTTGCTTAACGCTGGTCCGTTCCCGAACAGGGTTTCGACTGCTGTTCTCCCAAACTCCCGTAGCGAGCCTTCCCTTCTTTTTTCCACTAGCAAACTGAAGATTCGTTCTCACTGGAAGTTATAAGTGTTGAGAGAGGTCCCTGGTTGAAGTGAGGCCAGGGGCCTTTCCCAGCAACTACGGCATAGACATCCCACCGAATACAACAAAAAGGAACTGTAGATCCTGTCCCAAAATATACTCAAGCAGAAGAACTGGACAACCTTTGAGGACGCAAGTCTGTTACAGTTAACATCTACATGCAACAATTTCGAGACGAAGTGTCAACCTTACAACCACGTCCAACAGCTCCTCCCCAACCGCTCCATAATGGCCATTAAACGCAGATTCATCTTGCTTTAACGACGCGACGCCCCTTCTCCTGAACCTACCGAACCCACTTCAAACGGATCTCTGCACACTGCAGCGATCTCCCTATCGTTGGAACCTGAAACTATCCAACATCGAACCAATAATCCAAGCAACAGCCAGCTGCTCTATGGTCACAAAGTTTCCTCCACTCGCCACTCACTCCATCCTCATCGGGACTCCACATCTCTTCTCGGTGGAATGCAGTTACCCATCCCGTGGTAACCCCAACAGCTTCTTTCCTCACGAGAGATTCAAAGATGAAATATTCTGTGACTCCATGAACATACAGAAAGTCAACCTCCACCCATCCTGCTACCCCCAAGATTTGTGCACGGACAACGACTGCAATAGCATTCGAGAACCAAACACCATTACTCAAACAGAACCCTGTTCTTCGCCCTGCTACACGGAAATCTTCATAGTACCTCATGCCAAATATCTTCATGACAAACTCAACATGTCCCAATAACTAAACCACATGAATCAGCTTCATCTCAGAATACGAGAAATCCTTCTGAAAGACCCTCCACCCGATAACAATATCTGACCCCAGCAGAACTGAATTATGCAACACCGCCCTAATTTAACTAAATCGCAAACAACCCCTTATATCACCTAATGAGTTGCATCGAATTCTAAACTCCCATTTCCTTGGTGATACTACAGCTGCTCACCTGATTAAATTCCTTGAAGAATATGCCTCAACAACCTTTGCCTGCAAATGGCGACCTACAAAAAAGACACGTTACTTCAAACCTCAACAACAGAACACGGGAGCAACAACGACGAATCCTCTACGCCTACATTCAATCACTGTTTGCCAAATCTCCTAAGGACGCTTGCACCACAGTACTGGATGGTCGGCGGCACGACTCATTCACCAAACCGCCCACCACTATCGACGGATTTAATGCCTACTGGACAAACATCTGTGAGCAGTCATCAGTCACCGACCAGCTCTCCGTAATGAACACCATACCTTCACTCACCAGCCTCACCGAACTAATCCAGGTGAAAGAAGTGGAATTGGCGTTAAAAGAAATGAGAGTATCAGCGCCTGGAGTCGATCGTCTCACTGCCACTGAACTCCTCTCTCAAAACCCCTCAGAAAACATCAACTATTTGAACAGGCGACTCATCGCCGCTCACTGCCCTACCAACCTAGCGATGACCCATACCACATTTATCCCCAAGATCACCTCCCTTGATAACCCATCCTATTTTCGTCCCATTTCGATCACCCCCACTGTCCGCCTTCACAAGATAACAGCCCGGCGATGGTTGCCTTCCTTTCCAAACAACCATCCACAACTCGCCTCCCTCCACAGAGATGGATGATTTGAAGCTGGCAACCCCCTTCATCCACTACTGAGAGAAGCCCATACCTACCACCACGGATGTTCAATAGCTATACTAGACATATCTAAAGCCTTTGATAGTGTATCACATGACTCTATCATCCGAGTTGTTAACGGTTCAGGGCCCCTGACCTACTTTTGCACCATCTTCCTAAATACTATGCCAATTCCACATGTATCTTCAATAAAATTAGCTGCAAACGATCTCGAGGATTAAAACAAGGAGACCCATTATCACCGTTTGTTTATCCTGACCATCGATGAAGCATTCGAATCGATTTCTGACGAAAACAACTTTATAATCAATAAACAGCCCCTAAACTACATCGCATCAACTCCGGAGGGCTGGGCATCCCCTCTCTCGCAACCTTAACCGTACTCCATAGAAGATAACGTGCAGAAAAGATGTTGGCATCTCAAGCACCATGTATCCGTTGGGTTGCCACTTCTCTACACTTAGGACTCTTCTTACGAATCTGCAATCTGTCGATAAAAACGTGCAAAGAAGCCGTAAAAAACCTTACTGACGTGAAACAGAGCATGATGAAACAACTACATAACACTTAGATGGCAAAGGCCTAAACGACTCGACTAAAAGCAAGGAATCGACCACTAGATTCGAAACCCAAGAAGAATATTTCCCCGACTGTACATCAGAGGAATCCAACTAAGAGGTGGACTATTGAGCACCGAAGCTAGACGCTCAGGTGGATCTTGAGTGACCGGAGATATCCGTTGCCACGGTACCTGCGGATATCCCAAGAGTCATGCTCACGTCCCTCAACACTCCTCAATCACATACGATATCGGATGTCAGCAACATAACGTCGTCGTAAAACTAATCGCTGATAGGACGAAAAGCGAAGGCATTGAAGTACTTATGGAACCCATTATCCCCCGCGGTATTACATTCTGCAAGATGGATCTGATTACCATCCGAGATGAGACCGCATACATCATGGATATCGCCATCTGTGATGACTCCAACTTGGACAAAATCCGAATGTTAAAAATTTTCAAATACGGTAATATGTCCACCACAGCGGCGATCCAAAACCATCTAGCAGATGCCCATTATCATATCGTACAGAGGTATTATACACCCTACACACTCACACTCCAGAGCACTAAAATCCTTCGGATACATCGCCTTCCAACCTGGGCATCTGTGACGTTTGTCTGGCCACGATCTCCAATTCCCTCAAAATATACGACACATATATGAAGGGAACAAAATAGTGACAACTGCAAATCCCGCGGAAACCCCGGCTCATTACTTGCCCCTTTACATTTTCGATTCATATTCCTACATTTTCTAAGTCTTGCACCCCTGGCCAGAGTTTTTTTAATTTTACCTTCTTCTTTGAAAGTTCTTTACAAGTGTTAGCCTCCGCAAACTTTCTTTTTGGGTATGAGTTAGCGCCCTATGGTGATTTCATCAAAACACGAGCAATGCTATGAAGACACCTGTGATCAAAACCCTGTCTTTTACTTTTAACAGTCATGTCTCACAGCTGTATGACAGGACAAAATGAACTGCAACACAGCATGATCTTACTTTGATAGATAGTTGGATATCTCAACAGTCGGCTTTATAGGTGATGCAAGTTAACAAATACCAAACGGGCCTTCACTATTGAACGTGAGATTTTCTCGGCAACAGGCAACCAATTTGAGATGATGCAACTCCCCATTTAGGTGAAGTGGTCGACAGATTCCGCTACTTCACTCCCTATCATTAAAAAACTGGGTCTTCACCATTAGTAGGAGTTCATAGTCAGTTGTGTACAACGTCTACAGGCAGGTGATGTTGAGCTAACCTATAATAAATAAGACTTATAAAGTTACAGTAAATCAAGGGATAAGGTTCTAATACCATGTTATCTAGTTGTTAACGATGACCAGATTCTGCCGAAGGAGACTTCAGTATCACGACTACACTGAGCTGAGAAACAAAGGAAGGAAATACAGAAGACGAGGAAACAAGATCAATAAACGTTGAAGATTAATCCATGTTGAATGAAAAGTCCAAAGACTATCAGCAAAAACCAAGTTTTAATAGTTTACTAAGACTTGGTGTAGCTTCCCAATAGACAATTCTATCAATTCTCATCTACATTTTGTCCACAATATGAGTTCAGATCACCTAGGAAACAACGGCTTCAGATAATTCTGATTAACCAGTAATCAGCAAGCAAAACAACTATATCATCCCTACAATTGAATCCAACCATTCATTCAGAGCAAAAACCAATGCCTTAACGGTACCACAACAATTATTTGATTACCTTCAGATTTTTTTGAGGGGGTTGTGGAGATTTGGAAATATTTCAAGTTATTATTCATCGAAGACTGACATCAGTTGGAGGAACAAAGGAAACCTGGGAGCACTGGACAGCTGTTTCGTCCTAGTATGGGACTCCTCAGCAGTGCGCACCCACAACTCCACCAGCAGGGATCGAACCCGAGACCTTCAGGTTCCGCGACCAGCGCGTTACCATTGAGCCACTGGCTCGGCGGAATCCAATGCTCCATATTTCCAACTTCTGTTAGCTCACGATATATAGCGCAACCGCCACCCAATGTCATCGTTGAGTATTTGTCCTAACGCTGGTCGCGGAACCTGAAGGTCGCGGGTTCGATCCCTGCTGGTGGGGTTGTGGGTGCGCACTGCTGAGGAGTCCCATACTAGGACGAAACAGCTGTCCAGTGCTCCCAGGTTTCCTTTGTTCCTCCAACTGATGTCAATCTTCGATGAATAACAACTTTAGATTTTTATCTAGGATTAGATAACTTCAAAGTCAATCGCTGACCAGAGTCTATCATCAAAATACAAGAAAATAACTCATCATAGTGAATGCTTGCAAGCTTTTCCATTCGGGATGAGAATGACACAACCAGATATAACTGTGTTATCCCACCGTAAATGCCCATGAAAACCAGTTTTCAGGCGATGATATGAAGAAAGCACGTAGAAGAAGCACACTAGTACATTTCAACCTTATTGGGCAGTCAGACATTATACCGACTACTTAGATAGTGTAAATGGAGTATATATATATATATATATATATATATATATATATATATATATATATATATATATTATATATATATATATATATATATATATATATATATATATATAAACAACACAAACCTTGTTAGTTCATTGGATGAAATATCAAGTCGAATTAAATTTGGTAACATTTGGAAATCCCTTCAGGTATTTCTCGGATAGAATTTCTAGCTAGTTCTAATGTTGTAATGGAACAATCTTGTAAACAGGATAGATTGACTACTGTGATCCGATTATCACTTAGATGGAGTTCCTAAAAATAAAGCGGTAAACAAACAAAACATAACTACCATGTTTATACATAAAAAATATTTGAAACAATTGGTTTCCCTTTATGAAGTTTGATAAAGCAATAAGAAGATGCAATCTGTTAAAGTCGTGTAATATATTCGCTCAAACATTTCCAACAATCTGGTCACACACGTACTTGACATTGGGTGATGATTGAAGGGGAAATGAAAATTTAGACCGCGACGGGATTCGAACCAGAGACCCATCAGGTTTCCTACCCGTTGCATAGTTAAGGTGTAGGAAAATAATTATCAAATTTTGAGGGGGTTGTGGAGATTTGGAAATATTTCAAGTTGTTATTCATTGAAGACTGACATCAGTTGGAGGAACAAAGGAAACCTGGGAGCACTGGACAGCTGTTTCGTCCTAGTATGGGACTCCTCAGCAGTGCGCACCCACAACTCCACCAGCAGGGATCGAACCCGAGACCTTCAGGTTCCGCGACCAGCGCGTTACCATTGAGCCACTGGCTCGGCGGAATCCAATGCTCCATATTTCCAACTTCTGTTAGCTCACGATATATAGCGCAACCGCCACCCAATGTCATCGTTGAGTATTTGTCCTAACGCTGGTCGCGGAACCTGAAGGTCGCGGGTTCGATCCCTGCTGGTGGGGTTGTGGGTGCGCACTGCTGAGGAGTCCCATACTAGGACGAAACAGCTGTCCAGTGCTCCCAGGTTTCCTTTGTTCCTCCAACTGATGTCAGTCTTCGATGAATAACAACTTGAAATAATTATCAGTCAAATGAGAAGTCTATATTGAAGATCGAAATAACAATGAAGATCAATAAACCAACAACAACAACAAAGACTTAGTACAATAACCACCTCGGGTTCAAAGCCGAATTTACGAAGAAACGTTTGATGTGATGACAAATTATTTTTGAACACATAAACATGGCTTAAACCTCCTAATGGCCATTGACTCAACAAACGTTAAACTACATCCCCAATAGGTCTTATAGACGAGTGTCAATGACTTTTGTACACCCAATTAATATGTTTAGCTACTGAGGAACTCCATACATTTGTTTCTAGCATCAATTGGGTCAGGTGACTCTGTTTGGAATATGTTCTGTAGCCCTTATTTTCAATGACCAAAGTTTGTGCGAAAACATTAGATTAAATATTGTACTTTTCTTTTAGATTGTTGACATTACAATAAAGAACAGAAAAACATCAATCAAATGTAAGTTGAGTGGTATCAGATTGTAGAAGGTAGTGGGGACTAAAGTGTGCGTTTCGTCTTGTTTAGTATTCATCAACTGAATATAACTGCATTCCAACACGTATTGGTCATCTTAACACTAATATTTTCGGGTCAAACAATCTTTCCTTGAAACATCAACCCACCCATCAGACTAGTAACTTATGATAGTTATTCTTTATATAGTAATCATAGCTCGATATCATTCCCCATAATTTTCTTGCTATCGACGGAACAGGTCGAAACCAAATTAACCAACTATACGACCAGTTCATATACCGGAAAGTGAACAGTGGGAGTTAGAAACTAAGAGTTATCATCACTTTCATCATAAGAAATGTGACTGTAATCTCCTGAGGAATTGAAGGTTAGTGGAAATAATTAAGCCGCCTCAGTCGCTGAAGGTTCATAACCTCATCCATCTACTTACCTGTCTTATCTAGTACTTTTCGTCTGACCTCCACATTGCTCACACTGAGATCTCAACCTGTGTGAATAGTGCCACGAAAACGCCAGTGTTTGGAAACCTACAGTCGCTTCATATCTTCTACTTCTAAAAGCTTTGTCTAATAGCTGTATAACAGGAAGAAGAGAACATCAAAGCAGCATACTCACCGTTTGATAGATATTCGGATATCTCGCAAGTCAGCACCACAGATGATGCAAGTTAGAAAACGCTAGCTAGACGGGCTTTCTGTATCCGAGGTGAGCTTTCGTCCGTAACTACCTCGTTCAAGTTGATGCAACTCCACAAGTGAGTGAAGTGATTAACGCATTTAAATATTTCACTCCCTATCACTAAAGTAGTAGTTACAGACCAGCTCTAGAGGATTCAACAGGCGAGAAACGCATGCCAATCTAACATACTCAGATTCCTACTCAACATGTTCAGAAAACCCTGCATTTTGTCAACATCACCTAGTAGGACGATATATTGCAGGGACTACTGGTCAACCACATGCCTTCCAGAGAATAGACCCATCCCTCGTAAGTCAAACTTACTCATGGTTATGCCCAATAATACGTCCATAACGAAGTTGAACACGAAAGGACAGCAGACATCCCATCCGGATACCACTTATTGTCATCAATGGAGTGACCTTTCCTAAACTCTTATGAAGCTGCATGCTTTAGAGTAAAAGGCTTTGGTCAACACTTTATATTTGCTAAGCACTCCCTTCACAACCAAACGCAGTCAAAACACCTCATACTCGAGAGTTGAATGCTCCCTTTGGGTCAAGAAATATGGTAAGTATCGGCCGCTTGCTATTAATTATGCATGTCTTGCCGAAACTGTCGAAGGGTGAAAATCCGACCGATGTACCCTCATCCAGGTCTAAGACGTGTCTAATTTTTTCGAGTTTGTTGTTCTCAGGCTCCAGTTAAGCGTCAGATAACTATGTATCCCAGAAACTTGGACAAGTTGTTAGTAAAACTTATTCCTTATGATTGTCGCACTAAGACTTCTCTGTTCTTACATACTGGAGTGATTAGTGAAGTAGATCAATCTAACTGGATTGCCTCCAAATCCCATATCCTACCGAGTATATTTCTGGGTGGCAAATTGTCAGGTCCCACTGCTTTGCATCGTTCCAGGTTTGAAACGGCCTTCTCAACTTCGAGAAGAGATGGAGGACTGATATTAACGTCCCATTGAGGTTCACACTGGATCCTGGGGCAACTGGAGCATAGCTTTAGTCCAGTAGAACTGTGCTTTTTCAAATGTTCAGCCAAACGTTTGGCTATCTCTACCCTGAGAGGTTATCAACGTCCATCCTTTTCAGTAACGACTTCATTAACCAGTTTCCTTAATATGCTTAAGTAAATGCAGGATAGTACCTAGTGCTAATGCCGTCACTATCTCACTCGCTTTTGCCGCTCACCACCACTCAAATCATGGAGAAGACTTTTAGTCAACCATCTTTAAAGTACTTTCGCCTATATTATGGTGAGAGCCAGTTGGAATAAGTTTCTTTGCATCAATAAGTTCGGATGAGGTGGAGGAAATCCACGGGCTTTTGCTAACGTTTGGATGTAGGTCAGTACTTTTCTACCGGTGTCTATACAACAGACAACACAAGGTTTCTTCACGTTCAGATAAATACCTTACTATCTACCCCCCCCCTCCCTAAATATCACTTCACGTGACTATCTACCGCTGCTGCGTTCCGAGCATTCACCAGGGCGCAAGCACACATGTACTCACACTAACGCACGACTTGAGACAAAACAGTTACTCCAGAAAGAGCGGCAATCCTTCACCGATTCTCTCCGACAATGGCTTATACAGAAATCACTTATGTGTCCATCATCGGTTTGACGGCAAACACCAAGTCAGAAAATGTTTCTCGTTGAGGTTAGTGCTAGCCAGAAGCAAGAGATTGTTAGAACAAAATTCTAACAGACATCCACCGTTGTCAGTTCGTTGGCATGGGATTCGGTAGATATCCTTAAAATGCCTTTTCAACTGGCTGAGCTTTCTCAATTGAGTGTTGAAGTCACCCGCTAATATAACAAGTTTTTGATAGAAATCATCCTTTGCATCATCCGAACTGCAGTCAATGGGGGCGTAGGCAGAGGTTATAAATAGACATCCGCCAGTCTCACGATCCCTCCTACTTCTTACAGATCCAATCATTCGACTGATGACCTGTATCCAGTAGAGGAGTGCACTTTCTGCCCTACAACTTAGTGCTATGCCTACCCCAATGAGACCATGACAGTGGGCCACTTTTTTCTGTGCACCACCAACAGCCTTATTTTCAAAGATTTGACGCATTAGTCAGATGAGGTCGAGTTAATAACCACACTCAAATCCTTCATATGTATCTCAGAAACAGAGCATACATCCATGACTCAAGATTTCAGAGTTCTAACAAGAGATGTCTGCTGTCCGACTTGACAAAGAGTTTGCAAGTTGGAAGTTTCAATGTGGAACTGACAGAGAGGTTTTAAGAGACTAGGAACAGTGTTTCATTGGCTTGGATCGTTACCAATGGTCACAGAGTAAGAGGCTGAGAATGTTGTAAAAGGTTGAATATTGGTATCAGGAAGTGAAGGTGAAAGAGAAAACAAGGATATAAAGAAGAAATTATAATAAGCTGGATTTTGTATACTACTGAAAGCGTGTGCACGGTTGACATTTCTCAGCCACTCACACCGCAGAAGACTAGTTCTGCTTGAGGTACCTGAAGAAGAAAGGTAAGTGTGCGACCATAGAGCCTAAAGAGACATCTGTTTGAGGCCGGTTATACATTGCCTGCTTAGAGATTTAAGGTCTCAGTTCACTTTTCTCAAATCCTACCATTAGCGCAAATCACTAGCACAGGTATGATACTGGATAGAGAGAAGTGTGCTATTTTGGGGGCTAACCTTTTCTAACCTCTCCTCTTCATGGGGAAGGCAGCATCCGTGTGGTACCGTTTGTCATCCATGTGGAACACCCTACTGTTGTCACATCTATCCACTCAACACAGTGACTTCACCAGCGGGTTCCCATCATAGGGTTGTAATTTACGATATGAAGAATTGATGCAACTGCTGATTTACAAAGCTAAATAATCAGCACGTGCTTGTTTATTGTCAACTGAAACTATACATAATTCGAAATCTCAACCAGTCTGATTGATGCATCAGTTTGTTAAAAACATTAGCTCCTGTTAAAGTATGCATTGTAAGACCCCAGTTTCGTATAAAACATACTTATTGATCCGAACATGTTAACGTGTCATTCTCACACACTTTTTTACGGCATGACTAATAGTCTATTTTCTGCCCTCATTGTAATGTAAATCGCTGATTGGTTGATTTCATTTTTACTACGTCTGTGCCTCAAATTTAGGACAAGGTCATTCTTCATATATGTACTCATTCACTTGTTTAGGGATTTGATTATTACATTTTCGGAGTGATAAACTCTCCCACCATCCAGCTTCGGCCTTCTCTCTTATTCTTCCTGAGGTTGTAGTCAGTGTCTCTTGCGTACTAAGTCAGCTGTCAGCTAAGCGTGCGTATTATATTCGTTCGAAGTATATAACTATTGGTGTTCGAAAACATAACAGTATGAACTACTTGATTTCAGTAAGAAAGTGATAGAAATATAGAGCAGTTCGATTTGCTACCTTAAAAAGGTGATTTTGAAGAAGCGAAGACCTGACATCGGAAAATCAAATTGAAATGCATCACTACAACGAAATATACACTCGTGTAATAGACAACAATTGGTCACAACTATTATGCAACGGTCAATGACACTCCCAATCTATCCAAACTACGGTAAGGTCACCTGAACAACAGCAATTTGGATTGTTACGCAGTAATGTTAGATCCTATGTTGATTTTGACCAATAAATTTTATAATGAGATAACCTGATAGGAAAGAAGGTAAGTTTTATTGACTCCTTCAACTAAAAGTATATCCTTTCTCTGTTTTTCATCGACGGTCGTAAAGGATATGATGATGCTCTATGAAAGAACTTGTTGTAATAGTTGTTTCTGCACATCGTCAACTGTTATGATAAACTTGCAACGATTTGTATTCATCTTGATAGCTTGCAGTGGAATCCAAGACGAGCGTTTCATCCTCTATTTGCAACTCCCCAGTTGAATATACCTTCACCGCAGTGAGTTCCAACTGAGATTTGAACCCAGTACCCATCGTTTCAACCAACAGAGCTTTGTCCACTAGGCTAATAAGGCACAAAGGCCACCATTTGTGTAACAGGTATTATTTGTTATTGGTTGATACTTGCAATTTCCTGTTACTGTACGGCGTTGAATTGCTCAACCTCTGCAATGATTTGTTTAGTTAGCGATAAATCCGGACGATATGCAATTTTACTTTCACATATACATTCGGACTGATAAATATAGTTTGAAGTGTTAAAGATCGATGCCATGGTTGCTGCAGTACACATTTTTCAGAATTACAAGTTTGCTTTACACTTTTGTCATACTTCTGCTGAATCACTACGCATATATTATCTCTTTTAGGTAGAAAGATGATTTTTTAAAAGCAATGCAGTGACGGCAATCACATTCATTCACAAATTATAAACGATATCAGGGGTTAAAAAGACCATTGGACAATTGAATTCTTCTCCAAGGACTAAATGGTAAAATGATCATCGAAAGAGTTGACAGCCTTAGGCTCGATTCCTTATGGGATCGCGGCTGGGCACTGCTAACAGTTGTCGACTGCACTCAAGTAATGAAAATTACTTTCAGATCAATAAACCTCAACAAACCCACAACTAGATAACTAACTAACTACTGCTCACTAATGACTTGCTTCCAACTGGATTTCTCAAATTTCTATGAGAATACGTTACCAACAGGATCAAGCAACTGAAGAGAGAAGTGGATCCCCATCGACAACAGTTGATGATCATCACGTTAAATCACGACTAAACAGAAGCAGAAAGATGTGAACCATTGAATTCTGAACCCAATTGGTTGAATTGTAACGCATTTACGGCAAAATCCTTTGATTCTGAGCTTTATCCTTCTTACACTGCTGAAAAGTTCCAAAATAGTACTAAAAAGAAACTGAATTAAACACCACTCACTTTCAGTTCAGTTAAACCGGCTACATCAGGAATTACCGGTAAACAATTGAGATCAACATGTAGAATTGATAAGTGTAAAGTGGAACGAGTATTTGGTGGACGTCTGTCTAAAACCAACTGGTTTAATTGATTTGATGATAAATCCAAAATTGTCAACACTGAAAAACATAATTGAAATAAAATTATGACTATGACCTTGAATTGTTGAACATTGGAAAACAATAATAATATAATACCATTGGACCTCGTAACTCAGTTAGTAGAGCATCGGGTCAGAAACCCAGTAGTTGCTGGTTTGAATCTGCTGCGGTTCAAATTTTTATTTCACCTTTAATCATCACTCGGTATAAATATTAACAAAGGTTTCATAATTAAAAGATAAAATGCTTAATAACTTATCAGAACATATAGAATGAAAGTGTTTCTATATTTGATCCGTAAAAGTTAGAAAATGTTAGTATCCAACATACATTGCTAACCAACCAGTGTTAGTTAACAAAACTTGCTGCTTTTCAGAATTGAGTTTAGACTTTCATATATCCTTTTATGTTAACTAAGCTTACAATTATTCACTCAATATGATCATATTCTTCAATCATATCCATAAAACCAACAATAATTTAGTTAGAGAGTAGTGAGCATTGAAAGTATAAACAAAACTGGATTATTATTTGTTTTTTAGTATTATTTTTCCCTTGTGGAATATAAGGGTTTCAGTAGCATGCCTCCATTGCATTCTCTTCGCTGTAGTCTTTTCAACCTGGCTTCACGACTGCCCACAAGCTTTCATTTCTTCCTCATGGGATCACCTCCATGTCACCTTCACCTCAGACACCCAACTCATTGTTTCCCCTTTGGATTCCACTCGACGCCCTGACCTGGCACGTGATGCCCCCAATCAGCCTTCTCAGTGTATGCCCAATCCATCTCCAATTCCTTCTGCGCATTTGTTGGGCGATAGGTTGTTGGTTGGTTCGTCACCAATCAATGTTCCTTATTGCTTATTCTCATTATTCTGGCCATCTGATCTTCCGCATCGAGTGTAGGCAGCAGTTGCTGATAAATGTCTGTGGTTTGTTGGAATTGCTTTCGTGACAAGCCAAGTCTCTGAACCATCACACAGAAGCACTGCCTTACTTGACTGACATTAGTGTTAAAAATCAGGATCTCGTTCATGCTTTATGCTGAGTGCAGTAGATCTCCATACTGATTTCAGATTAATGAAGGCCTCTCTTACTGTCTTCTTGATCCTGCTTTTGACATCCTCGTCTGTGCCACCACCTGTAGTTGAAACTATGCTGACCTGCGTAGGTAGGTGAAAGAGACTACTTCCTTTACGTTTCTCCCGTGATGGTGATTGGTGGTGCTTGTTGTTGTTGTTGTTGGTTGGGTATCTTCATCACCTCTGTCTTCTCCACGTTCACCTGAAGGAAGTCCCATCTTCACTGCCTCACCTCGCATCCTCTGCCAACTTGTTAGTTTTCGCCAGTAGATCTTCGAGTTTGTGTGACAAGACACTAGACATAAATCATCATCAGTGGCGAAATCCAAATGTTGTGAGGTCTTTCTATCGGTTCAGCCTGCGAATTCCCATCTTCTCGCTCCTCACTGTTTGCTGGATGATCCAGTTGACTACAATCAGGAAGTGATGGATGTCTTCACTTCAAAGGGATCGCTGAGCTTTCCATTGTGAATCACTTGGCATGCGGCGTCTTCATATAGCTGTTGAATGAGGCTGATAAAGATTTGTGGTACTCCCTAGTGTTGAAGCAGTTGCCAAATTACTTCTCGGTCAACGCTGTCGAAGATCTCAAAATCAATGAAGTTGAGGTAGAGAGTTGACTTCCATTCTATGCTGTGTTCTATGATGATGAGTAGCGATGGAATTTGATGCGCACATGATTTGTTCTTCCTGAAGCCAGCCAGCCTGTTCTGGTTGTAATTTTGAATCCAGTGCTTCCTTTAGTCCCTCCAGGATGATAAGGCTTAATATTCTGCTTGAGGTGGACAGTAGGATGATTCCTTGCCAGTTCTTGCCAACATTTAGGTCTACCTTCATTGGGAGTTTGACAAGGTAGGCCTTCTTCCAATCGGCAGGTACCTTTCCTTCCTTACAAACCTTCTGTAGTGAGCATATCCACTGTTGTCTCTACGTCTCTTTTCAGTGGATATGGTATCCATATAACCTATGTTTGGCAGTTAGACTCTTATTGGAGAAGCTGGACAGAAAACGTTACAGTTTATAAAATTATTACTCAGAAAGACTCTTCTTTGATATAAGCCCAAAACAGGTGGACAGCACACTCCAAAGAGCACTTCAACAGTTTTATAGATAGACTTCGGTTGCCTACCAACCGACTGTAACCTGAATAGGACATGGACTTTAGTCTTCTAACTTTCACCGAAGATTAAGGCTTTCTCAATATGACGTCAGTAAATTACCAGGGACGATGGTTTGCCTCAAGATGTCTTTACAGTTGGTGTTCGGAGATTTACAGTTAGAATAGCACAAGCCCTAACTGGTGTATGGAAATCTGAAATAGTCTCTTCATATCTGTCTTGATAATTGATAATTCTAATTTATTAGGGCAGAAATCCTCTAATCACGTCAGCAGAGATACGGTTGTTCTAGTGCTGGGTAGGGTATGAAAAACCTATATCACCTCCACTCTCACTCCATGGAGTAGAGAGGAGTATGCTATTTTGGGGGCCAAAATCTTCTAACCCCTCCCTCCCATAGGGAAGACAGCATCAGCCTGGAACTGCTGATCATCTATGGGAAATACCTTACTTCTGTCACACCCCTATCCACTCAGTAGTATGACTTTGTTGTCAAATCCACATCACAGGGTAGCAATATACACTTTAATGGTAACTGCTTTTTGTCTAACCACTATCCAACTGATCTTCCTGGTGATGTGGTAGCGTTTCACCAGCATAGCTTGTTGGGTCACTGTGATATCCAAGCCCGACTACCACATCAAGGTAGCAGCTATTGATCATCTACAAAAGCCTAAATATTTTCACTAATGTTTATGGTTTAATTTGTTTCTCCTTCTATGCACCTTTATCTACTCTAAGTCTTTTCGATCCGTTTTTTATTTGCATGCTACTGTGAAATGTGGAAACTTGAGCTAATGCAATTTTGTGCTGGATTCTACGTTGATTTTATCTGTCTGCGTCCGTCTGTAATAGGAAAAGGAATGCCCTGATTAGCACAACCTCTGAGATTCTAAGTTCCACAGCTGTTCAACATAACTAAAGGTTAGAAACAGCAAACCCTGAGAATATCATGAGGTTTTCAGGATTTGATTCAACTTCACTGATGTACTCCTAACCTATCAGCAGCAATCTAGGACTAAGACATTTTAAATGACGCTTGAGGTTTTTCATATTTTCCATCTAGACGTAAATTCCCCGACAGGTATTTTGGTTGCATACCACTGTGAAAAAAGTGTCAAATAAATAAACTATGGTGCCACAGACTCTACGTTCTAGTTCGTGTAATCGATTGGTGTCGTCGAATGTTACCAATACCATCAAAAACTGCTATATGTAGAGGTGATACCACATATTTCCGATGTCTCAGGGATTTACCTCTGGCCCTTAAATCTTCTAGTCAGTATAAAAAAGGTGGAGAACATAGCTTTCTTAAGTGGATACACTAAATCCCATGACAGTGAGGAAAACAATTTGAAGAAAATAACGAAGATTCATTCCACTGTTTCCTTGGTTTCACCTCAGCTACTTACAAACCTCTACCATAGAAAAACAATTGACTATGATGGTGTTTGAAGCAATTGGTCCTGAATTCGAGTCATAATGAGAACAACACCACTCACTAGGAGGCAAGTACATCCAGCTGATGAATCTCAAGCAGGACGAAACACGCATCAACCTAGACTTCACTGCTAGCCACTTAACCTATCATTAATATCAAAACTGACTTTGATAGAAGCTTAAAAAACTTCAAGTCGCTAGAATTCAATCACAACGATGAACAAATACAGAAAGGAATTGAGACAATGTAGTAAGAAATTATAATAAAGCATTAGAAGCAGGTTAAGTGAGAGAGCATAACAAAAGAGTCACGATTATAACCATTATCAGTGAGTAAAAATGAACTACTATTGAACCCTATAAGTTAGTTAATAGACAGATGTGTCAGGAAAACAAAATATGTAAAATATAGTGAGTTCAACTCCGTTGTTTGACGTGAATATACCATGTTCAATGCAAGATGATTTAGCGAAATAAGAATGAAAGTTATTTCTTTGATAAGCTTAGGACGATAGCTGTCATGTGATGTTCAGCGTCTGTTATTATTCACGTATACAAATGGAGAAAAGTAGCTGCATTTATTACACTAACATAAAGCTGTCCCACTGTCCCATGTACAGCCTTAAACATAGTGTTACTTCATCATTTGTATATTGGTATACATCAGATAGCAAGTCAAGAGAAAATACAATATGTGATGGAATCACTATACAGGTAGTGCTAAAGACAGGCGTAGATTACTAGGAAAGGAAGGTTTTGAAATTAAATCGACTGAAACAATTGGTGGTCAGATCGAGACATGATACCAGCCAAAGAACTTTTTGACTATTGGGTTCTTCGAGAGGTTTGGAATCAGTGGTTGGAGACTCTTGGGCATATGACTTAGAATTGGTTACAGTGGTCCAGGTTTATACACTCTATCACCTTCAAAGGCTAAAAGATTTTTACCAATCCCCATTCATATATTTACGTTCTTCTCTCTTTCTCTCTCTCTCTCTCTCTTTCTCTCAACTTTAATATCATTCTGTTACGACGTGGAGTTGTGTGAACGAACGACAATACTAGACGATTGATAATCAAGAGTTGAGACGGTTCAGTCCAAGTGATTCGTAAAGAGACTAGTAATCAGATGAGTATCTCGGATCGAAAACGGTTATTACTGAAACGACACACCATATATAGTAATTAAAATCACTTTGAAAGACAAAGGATAATTTGTACATTAAAACAGGCATGAATCAATCATAACACTAGCGCGTTATATGAAATACATCCTAAATGCGGTAAAAAGGGTTCGAACAAATACGGTTTAAAAGTACAATTGGTAAGTATGGAATGTTAGGGATATAGATATCCGTAACACATTCCTTTTTCGATCCACTTCTTTCCAGTCTACTGTGAAGTGTGGTAACTTGAGCTGAAGCACTTCTCTACCAGATTTTACGTTAGCTTGTCTACCTGTCTGACTACAATAAGATGAAGGTGAATATATATGTAAAATGAAGTTTTGTAATTTCTTTCCACAAGTATCTTGATTTCTATCCTGCAGTTAACGCTTTTACCAATACTCTAAAACTACTTAAATATTTTTTTGAATGCGATCTGAACAAGAATTTATAAGACAAACACATAATGTTGAAATATCTTCATTTAAACAACGTTAGTTAACCTAAGCAATGATGTTAGATATTATGTAATCAAATCTCCTTAAGGAGGATAACAGCACAAACTTAGCTGTGTTCGACTAAGTCAATTTAGTGAAGAAATCCTCGATTTCATCTCACATACAGTCACAGGCGTGGATTGGTGAGGTTCCTGAAACGATGATGAAATAGCTATTCAATATGCTCAGGTTTCCAATGGTTCACTGTCTGATTTAGATACATCATGGAAACTCATTTGAAATCTAATATATATATATATATATATATATATATATATATATATATATATATATATATATATATATATATGTATTCATAAATTGCAATGTTACAACTTACAGTTAAGATTTTCAATGAATCCTTCTGGTACTTGCTCTAAACGATTATTCTGTACATTTAAATGACGTAATCGTGGTGGTAATTTTGACGGTAGCTTGGTTAATGCATTCTTGGATAAATCCTATTAAAAAGAAATCATTCGAAATAGAATTAAATTCACTACTAGAGAGAAAGTGACCCCCAAACTGATGAGTAGTAGAATACTAGGACAAAACAGCTGTCCAGTACTACTAGGTTTTCAATGCTTCTCTCTAACTGATGCCAGTTGGTGATGAATACTACCTTAAAAATATAAATTAATCATTGATAAACTTTCCAAAGAAAAAATTGTCATGATACACCCAATATTCAAAGACTGATAAGAAATAAACAGTTGAGAATACGTCGAATTTCTTTTCTTAACCTGAAATACCGAAGATTTGAACAATTTCTGAGAAGTAACTTTCTAGTTTATAACTTAGTAACCACCAGCATCTTTATGCAACAGGCGATAACTCACACCTATTGTGATCACCTGGCTGCTTAGACTTCGGTAAGCGAAACAAGGTTTGAGCCCACGACCTACATAAACCAATAAGCCATAGCTCTGGCTCTATTGCACACATGAGAATTACACAGCTGAAAACAACACAAACTTCACACAGTTTCACAAAGACAATGTAGCTGTCTGAACCATCACCCCACTTATTATATTATAATATCGGTTACTCAAAAGATGAGCACGATCATCCTTTGGGCTGTTTGACGGTCTGATTGAATAATATAGTGGTGTTGACAGCCCTTGCAATTAGTTTTTTAGACTTTATTGGCCTTATCTTCGTCACGTAATGGATACTTAAGCTTCCACAATATGTTGATAGTTTCTGCGACACCTTCGATAAATGAAAAAGTGCTTTCTTTTGTAGGTTTAGGTGTCTTAATGTAGGTTCGGTCGATAAGCATTTCCTGGTGAAGCATTTTGTGGATTACTTCTGACGTCCTCAGTTGTCGACAGCCGTAATGAGTCTTGCTTCGCAAGTGTAAATAGTGCTTATACGCAACTCTTTTCATGAAACACTGGGTTGTTACTACTGTAGTCCATAACTTGATCTATCTCTGCCAGTTTCCGGTAAACTTGAGTCAATAAGAATGTCTAGGAACGACTATTGATTCTCATCTCTGCTTCAGCCATCAGTTCAGATATTAGTGAACTCATGACAGTTCCTTTGGCCGGTTTGTAGATCCTCCCCCATTGAACTCCCAGTACGTCGTGAGAAATAGGTTGATAAGTTCGACCAATTATTATTATTAGTCCCTTGGGTTAATAATGGAACATAGGGCTTCAGTACCACGTCTCCAGTGAACTCTGTTCTCTGAAATCTTTTCAATCTGGCTCCACGACAGCCCACAACCTCTCATTTCCTCCTCGCACGATCTCCTCCATGTCACCCTCGGCACAGACGCCCAACTCGTCGCTTCCCATGGGGATTCCACTCGAGTAACTGGCCTGACGCGTGATGTCCCCAGTCGGCCTTCTCAGTGTATGCCCAATCCATCTCCACTTCCTTCTGCATATCGACCATATATATAATGGTAATTTTTGTATACTTTTGAATATTCTGATCATTGTTGAGAAGTATACTCTCATTGTTTCTTTGGTGAAATCTGAGTTGATTTACGTGACAAGTGCAGTTACTTCAAAGAGCACCATTTTTTCTCCGTTGTCAATCTCGAAATCTTTTATTTTCACCAGGTATTGAGTTGTTAATATGTTCCGAACGGATATAATACGCACGTTTAACTGAAAGCTAACTTCGTACGCGAAAGCCACTGACTGCAGCGCCGAACAATTAGAGAAGAAGACTGAAGCTGGATGAAGACAGTTTCTTCCTCCGAGAATAACAAACAATTAATTCAAAAAAACGTGAGTTTATATACATATGAAATATGACCTTCTCCGCAACTTGAGACATTAACATAGTAGGAGTAAAGACTAACCAACTAGAGAATTACATTACAGATAGGAGCAGAAAATGAACTATTAGTCATACTGTAAAAATGGTGTGAAAATAACAAAAGTGATAAGATCAATAACAATGCTTTATGCAACATTGGGGCCTTCCAACAGTTGCCAAAATGACTGAGTGTTGACTTCCATCAACAAGATATTTTAATTTACAGCATAATTCTTTTGATAAATCAAATGATGGTATCCCTGGCGGTAACCTCGCCTAGTTAACTAGTTCACGAGTTACTAGCCAGTCCGGATAAAGAGGAAAGGTTGGGTATACGGCTAGCAATCCTACCCCGGAAAACCAATCCAATCAATAAAGAAACTTCAAAGCACAAAGAAGTTATAAAAAATAAAAACAAATTTATTCCTCGCTGGAATCGGGCAGAAAAATGATGCCGGTTGGTGAAAGCCTTCGAGAAGCCAATCAGCCGATGAATCTTCTCTTCTCTCGATGAAAGCGAAAGTAAAGATGGGGACATGGAATGTCTGCACCATGTATGAAACTATCAAGGCTGCCCAGATTGCAGAAAAGATGACAACGTATGGAATCTGCGAAAGCAGATGGAATGGAAGTGGACTCTCCAAACTGTCAACTCGACAGTCAATAATCTACTCGGATATTCTCACCCAGACGACAACCACGAGCACACTGAGTTTCGGAGTGGCTACCATGATGTCCCAAACAGCATCGAAGGCTCCCTCTCATACAGTGGGAACCAATCTGATCCAGGATCATGACAGCAAGGTTCAACTCAAAGGGAAAAAACTTTACAATCATACAGTGCTATGCTACGCACCTACAAGTAATGCAGATGAAGAGAAGAAGGAGGAATTCTACAGACAACTTCAATCAGTACTGGACAAGACCCCACTCCAGTTGGCGACATCAAAAATCTAATGGGCCACATGAATGCCAAACTGCGGAGAGCACACAACACAGAAAGAGAACCAATCATAGGTCGAGAAGCACTCGGTGAAACGAATGACAATGGAGAACTGTTTGCATACTTCTGCGCATACAACGATTTGGTGATTGGAGGCAGTGTGTACAAACACAAGGATATTCATAGTGCAGAGAGAAGGAGTTGACCTCACCAGACACCAGGACACATTACATTAAAAACCAGATCGACTTCATCTCAATCTGAAGAAAGTGGAGACGCAGCCTACTGGACACAAGATCAGATCAAGAAGGGGAGCAGACGTAGATGATTCACACCACTCACCACCTAGTGCAAAGAACCTTCAAAATCAAGTTGAAAGCCTTCAAAAAAGCTGGTGATACACCACAGTTAAAGTTCAACATCCAGAACAGAGACTGAACTGAAGGATGAAACTACAAACGACATCTTCATGTCAACCAGTCATCAGGAAAAAACGGGAGACATTAAACATCATCCCTGAAAAACCTGCGTAGAAGAACACCGGAACTTTTTGAAAGGGATGTGGAAGGAAACATGCATAACCGTGTTAGGAAGGAAGAAGAAACGAGACAAGGAATGGAAAGGATCTCGACGGACACACGGAGGCTGATAGGGCAGGGAGAAAAGATGGTGAAGTAGATGAACCAGTGAAGTGCAGTGCACGGATAAACAACGAAACGGGAAACCGAACACAACCCACAAAACACTATACTGGACAAGGCAGTGAAGAAGAGTGCGCACAAAGACAAAAGACACTTCCACAACACACTTGCAAGTGAAGCAGAACAGGCTGCTGGTAGGAGAGACAGAGACCTGACCACATTATATCAAATAACCAGGTTACTATCCGGGAAGAGATCAACTCAGATGAGACCAATGAAAGATAGTGAAGTAAACCTAGTTAACGAAGAGGAGAAACAAAGGAAACGACTGGTTGATAACTCAAAAAACTCTTGAATCGACCACCACCACCACCACCATCTGCAACTCGTCCAGAAATACCACCAGCAACCACAGAACTACCAGTGAACACAAGCACTCAGACAAAAGTAGAAGTCATGTCCTTAGCGCCATGAAGTTGCCAAAAGCCAGGATAGCAGCAGGACCATATGGAATTCCGCCAGAAGCACTGGAAACAGACGCAGAGACATCAGCTGACATCCTGACATCACTACTGCAGAAGTAAGGAAGAAGAAGTATCTCCCGATTGGTTGTAAGAAGGGCTACCTTGTCAAACTCCCATAGGGGGACCTATGTCTTGGCAAGAATTGGCGAGGAATCACGCTTGTGTCCACCCCAAGCAAAATATTAAACGCATCATCCTGGAGAGATTGAAAAGTGCTCTCGATTCAAAACTACAATCGGAACAGGCTGGCTAGATTCAGGAAGAACAAATCATGTTCGCGTCAAATTCCAACGCTACGCATCATCATAGAACACAGCATAGAATGGAAGTCAACTCTCTACCTCAACTTCATCCACTTTACAAAGGCTTTCGATAGCGTCGACCGAGAAGTAATTTGGCAGGCAGCTGCTACAACACCACGGTTTTAGTGCCACCAACCTTTATTAACCTCATTAATATAGGTGTAAAACTTGAGCACTGTGGTAGAAATTAATTCCATATTAGGTTTGTTTATCTCATTTGTAACATACAGTGATCTAGTATTATTTACTTGATGACGTTTCCAGCATAAATTGTTGCTCATAATCACCCATATTAACCTCATCCAACAGCTATATCCTACGCTACATGATGCTACATACCAAGTGATTCACAATGGAAAGCTCAGCAATCCCTTTGAAGTGAAGACAGGAGTAAAACAAGGTTGCCGTCTACTATCACCCATCATCTTCCTGATTGTGGCCAACTGGATCATCCAGCAAACCGTGAGGAGCGAGAAGATGGGAATTCGCAGGCTGAACCGATAGAAAGACCCCACAACATTTCGATTTCGCCACTGATGATGATTTATGTCTAGTGTCTTGTCACACAAACTCGAAGATCTACTGGCGAAAACTAACAAGTTGGCAGAGGATGCGAGTGAGGCAGTGAAGATGGGACTTCCTTCAGGTGAACGTGGAGAAGACAGAGGTGATGAAGATACCCAACCAACAACAACAACAACAAGCACCAATCACCATCGACGGGAGAAACCTAAAGGAAGTAGTCTCTTTCACCTACCTACGCAGGTCAGCATCGTTTCAACTACAGGTGGCGGTACAGACGAGGATGTCAAAACCAGGATCAAGAAGACAGTAAGACAGGCCTTCGTTAATCTGAAATTAGTATGGAGATCTACTGCACTCAGCATAAAGTCTGAACGAGATCCTGATTTTTAACACTAATGACAGTCAAGTAAGGCAATGCTTCTGTGTGATGGTTCAGAGACTTGGCGCGTCACAACAACAAACTGCAGACATACCTCATCAACAGCTGCCGCTTACGCTCACTCGATACCGAAGATTAGATGGCGAGAATAAGCAACAAGGAACCCTGGCCATGCAACGAACCAACCAACAACCTATCGCTCAGGAAATACTCAGAAGAAAGTGGAGATGGATTGAACTGGGCGTACACTGAGAAGACCGTTTGGGGACAAATAATAAACTCCTTTAGCATATCAATTAGGCCGTCTACATCTTAAGGTTTTGTACACTTCCCATATTACCCTCCAGCATATCCTTCAACCTATTTACCTAAAGATGTAACAAGCTTATTTAGGTTTTGAATGCTTCTTTTACTTATATGCCAAAAACCAATCAGAAACAATCAACTGTAATTTCAACTATCTACTTAGCCTGATTTCGACTAACTACTAGCTAGTATCGCTTAAAGAAGGCTTTCTGAGGAGTCATTCTAAAAACCTTTCACTTTTAGTGTTTAGATGATTGGTTATCCTCGAAGAAGTCCAATAGTAACTGCTGTAATGCTTAAAATCCCGATGAAGGTAATGCATCAACCAAAATTAAAAAAGACAAGAGGATTAATATTTTAACCAAATTACAGTTAGTGTAGACAAAAAAACATTACCGCCTCACTTATACCATATTTTATTCAATTTCAATATATTCTATTTCCACCATTACCTTAAACGGTTAAGACAAAATTAATTTTACAGTAACATGTAAACGAATGATAATAATAACACGGAATAGTGGAACGAAATATTTAATTTAGGGGAGAGGGGTTGTAAGAATTTAGCAATTTTTCAAGTTGGTATTCGAGAGGTGATTCCTGAAGTTCAAATGAGAAGTCGTGACCAGCGAGAGAAAACCTGATGGCCGAGGGAACAAATACTCAACGATGAAAATGATGTGATGCACGCGCTATATCGTTAACTGACAGAAGTTAGAAATATGGACCATTGGATACTGATCCACTGACTCAATGGTAACGTGCTGGCCATAGAACAGGCAGGACCTGGGTTCGATCCCTGGAGGGCGGGGTCATGGGTGCGTACTGCTGGGAGTCCCATACTCGGACGAAACACCTGTCCAGTGCTCCCAGGTTTCTAATGTTCCTCCAATTGATGTCAGTCCATGATGAATACCAACTTGAAGAAACGAAATATCCCAAATGCAGAGTTTCAGAACGAATAGTGTGGAATAACTTGTGTATCGAACAATGTTTTAACAGCAAGTAGGTTGATACGATGTGATCACGTGCTTAAAACGATGACTGTAAAATGTATGCCTTTGATAGGTGATTCTTTAAAGGACACCTTAACAACTCCTCGAATGACCAATTAGGTTTGCTTATGAGTTGGTTGAAGGAAATAGGCAGGAAACCCTGCTCAATCTAAGTTTCGTGATTGTTGGCACTGGTCAGCAAGGCGTATCTGCAACCTCGAGGGAAGTGATGCACCCTGTAAGATTCACACACTTTTGTTACCTGGTGTTCCAGTTAGCTATGTTATCATTGAGCTATTCAGGCTGCGGTTGACCACATCCAGGACTTGATAACATACACTGTCTGATCACTGGACAGTAACCAATCTTACACTGTCTAATCCTGAGTGTTCTTCGAATTCTATCGAATCATTTTGAAATGTGACCAATAAGCTAGGAAGGTTTCCTAATCAACTAACAATCCATCCAAGTGCACTGTGACGGTGAGCCTCCTAGTTTGGTCGCAAAATAATCGATAGAATTCGGTTAGCACTTAGAACTAAACAACATGAGATTGGTTGCTGTCCAGTGATCAACCCAATGGAGGTTTGTTTACCCTATGAAAGGTTAGCTTACTTTTCTAGCCAAATAAAAGAAGTTTAATCAGCTTTTTAGTCATTATGATAATGGACCTTTAGAATCACTCATTCTGACACTGTTATGCAATTATGACTTCACACACACCTCATTGTTTCAGTATCCACTGACATCATTAACACTTTTCTATGCCCCAATGCAACTGAAAGCTAGACGACATACTTATAAGGCTTTAACGGACATGTCATTTTGAAAACTCCTGAAATAACCAATCAGGTTTCGGTATTTCAGCTGGAAAGGTATTTTTTTTGTGAAATAAAAAGAGAAGTAAATTGATTATCTTATTAGTTGGAGTTTCGTCCTATTTGGGGCTCGTCAGCTGTGGAAGCACCTGCACCCCAGAGAGTAGTGTTGTTCCTACTGAGACACGAACCTCGTACCGATTGATTCAAACGCCAAGATGTTATCCATTAGGCCATGGAGGCACGATTATCAGCTTCTGGTACAAAAATTATTCCTCGACCTCTAATGGGTGTATATTAACAAAGATATATTAACACAGATAATAATCATCTGTGTATACATGACAGACAGACAAAATCAACACATAGAACCTGGCACCTAATAACCATTAACATGAACAAATCAGATCAGTTTAATAAGAATTAACAACTAGGTAAATTATCCAAGTAATAATATACATAAAATAAGGTAACAATTTCACTTACTAGTCTTTCTAAATGACTAAAACTTGAAATATCTTCAGTTAAGCTCACCAAATGATTATTCGCCAAATCAAGAATAGTGAGATTCTGTATATTTGATATATTTGTGGGTAATACTTTCAGTTTATTATAACTTGATGATAAAGGCAAAGAAATAGTCAATGGAAAGTGAATGAAAACAATTTACAACGATAATTTGAACACAATACTTACAAGAAAGGATATATGAGAAACTTCTTGTCAGTCAATATCAATATATCAGAGATATTACTTTTGAAGGGAGTTTGTTATATTACTGCAACCTAGTTCAAAAGCTTGAGTGACCTACCAACCTCCCATTGGATTAGGTATGCAATAAAGTGGTAATATTGCCAGACATCCCGAAGAAGCTAATCGATATCAAATATCGACGAATAGGAGATCATGTAAGTTCAGATACACTTTCAAAACGTTTAAGTGAATATCCTACGCCAAGTGGAGATACAGTTCGTCTACAGAAGACTAACAGTCATGGATGTATACCACACTTCATTCTCACTATTTACCCCTTTTTCCAAAATTGATCGTAATTAAGATAACACAGCTCATTGACATGGACAGTGATTAAAGTCAGTTTTATGGAGGTAATCGGCAGGAAACCCTAGACCTAGGCTTTGTGCTTCTTGGCACTCGTTAGCAAGACGTATCTGCAATAGCTACGGAAGTGATATCCCGCATGAGATCCTAACTCTATCGTGATGCTGAGTCGCCCAGTCTGGTGACCATATCAATTGAAGTTGATCGCCCTCTAGTGACCAGTCAATGTAAACAGTGACTAGGTATGCGTAGCATGTGGTGGTTTACAACTTTATCGGCTGACTGACTCATCCCTCTAAATACTCGTACATCAGGAATTGTAATATAACTATTATTCAGTAGAAGGACAGGCAGAAATTTTCACTGGAAACGTTTAAACTATGCATAAGTATTCCTGGAACAAACAAGCCTTTAAAGCCACAGAAACCTCATGCTAGTATGGTCAAGTTCACCGTAATTAAAGTGGGGATATAGAAACAAACAAAATCCAAGACCAGTCAAAACAGTACGCGGGTCCCATTTCACACACACATACACATACCGCTTATGTTTAAGTAACTTAGCAGCCATGGTTATTAGCCATACGTAATGTATGAGGTCTGATTATACTCCCCAGTTGCCTAGACTGAAGTAGGCAAAACGGGAATTGAATCCCGAACATGCTGCCTTAAAGTTCTCCAGTCAATGAAATATACAATATACATGACAAATGTAATGAAGATCGAAGTACAATCAGCAACCTGGTGCCCATTCGTGCAACAGGCAGCGAGCCACACCTATTGTGTGAGAGCTAGTGATACCAAACCCAAACCTCGGTGAGCGGAGCGGGGTTCGAACCAACGATCCACTGGTCGGAAGACATCTGCCTATACCTATGACTAAAATATCCTCACAAATTCCGATAGTAGTCGTAGAAGGAGAAAAATAAAGGGGGGTAGACATGGGACATAAAAGAATATACTAATAGGTATCGTAGATTCAAAGTATTTAAAAAAATCCTAGGATGCATCGAAGGATATGGTACAGATTTAGTTCAGCATTGAGAGTGGAGAATCTAGTCATCACGAGAGCTGTGACCCATTGGTTTAGGAAGTTGACTTTTAACCAATGGGTCGCGGGTTCGAACACCGCTCCACCTACCGAGGTTTTGGCAGCCGGGTAGTATCACTAACCCTCACAATATATTGTAGCTCATTGCCTACTGCACAAATGTGCACAAGGTCGCTGAGTGCATTTCAATTCCGACCTAATCAACAGGGAGAGTGAACAACTACTAGAACAGTAGAATGAGGTATTATATCAACGTAAATAGTACTGAAAACATTTGTTCCCGATACAAATTTAAAACAAGCAACAAAGGTAATTAAAGCAGGATTTATTGAATTTTCTCTGAGAGTACCATTGATTATGAAACTGAAACACTGAACCATATCTTAGCCAAAATGGCTACCTTCAAGGCTTTGTTAATTAGTATTCGAAAAGTAGACAACGTGAAACAGTTCTCACAACTCCAAAAATGTCAGTATTTATTAAACTGTTTTTTTAAGGAGACAATATCTTAGAAGTCGTTAAGCGGAGACTAGACAAGGCCATCAAAAGAACTTATTATGCAGCTAAGCTAGTACTTCCAAGTACCATCAGGCGGGTGTTGCAGCAATCAGCAAAAGATATGACTCCAATCCTCGACACATCTAACTGTATATACCAATTTGAATGTACTTGTAGAAGCAAATACACAGGTCGTACGGAAAGGTATCTATCTACTCGCATAGTTGAGCATTTACCTAAATGGTTGAGACAAACAGAGTCAAAAATCCCATGGGGTCCGCTTATGAAACACCTAATAGATTATCGACATGAATTTGACACTACTAAGGCCTTCTCGATTGTCAGCAGACAGCGGTATAAGAAAATGCTTGCATCTGTGGAATCATGTGGGATTAGAGATCATAAAGCGACCCTATGAGTACAGAAAGAGATGGTAGTCACCCTGAATCTACCATGTTAGGTGTGTCGAAGTATTTTGAACTTACTTATCTTACTTGCTATACTTCGTATATTTACCTCATCTTGTTTTATTATCATGTCCTCTTGAACTTCTTCGCTCACTAGTCAAGTGACTCATCTCCATCGTTATTATCATTGTTATCGTCCAACTATTACTCTAGCCTCCTTTAGTTTTACACCGTTACTAAGCTTCTTAATTGATGTTCAATCACCTTGTTTCAAAATGACGTAATTCTTAATCTTTTCAATATTCATATTCTCATTAATGTTATTGCTTGTATTACACCGTCGTTGATTGAACCGAATCGATCAGTCTCTGTTGGCATATGGGCTCCTGTGTGGATGCCTCGATATTGCCTGTGTTCTTAACTATATAGTAGTGATGGATAATGGCTAGCAGTGGAATCCAGGATGACGAGTCCCAAATATGACGAAATGTGCATACTGGATTCCACTGCTAGCCGCTATCCATCATTCATATTCTCATTGTCATCATTATTATCACTCACCTGTAATAATACTACTATAATCAATATTTTTGTTTAACTAACACCTATGATCTCTTAGTGTACACCTTTATTAAGCTATCCAGTTGACTACTAATTGTTCTGTTCGAAATGATGTAATCTATCCCTAGTTCTTCTTTTTATTTTTCATGATCAATTCGTTACTCTCTGTCAGCCAAATCCTAACTCTGTTTGACATAAGGAAATTATTTATTCCATGTTGTTATCCTTCAGTTAATGTCTTAGTCTGTATTCTATGTATATATATATATATATTCCTTTATTGCACTTAACAGTATATAAAATTATATATGTAGAGTAAAAAGGTGAGGAGTCCTACTGAGATTTATGAATTCAATAAATCTCGCTTTAATTACATAAATAGTATTGATAAAGTTTAGTCAAGCAGTTGCGATTAATTTTATTACCCTGTTAAAAAGTCACGTTACATGAGCGTAAATTGACTTGGATGGTATCAAAAAGTATGAAAGGGGTTGCATAAGTAAGTCACTGTGAAGATAAGCTGTTGGAAGTCTAGAAATGTACCCAGACAGAGACATAAAACCAATGTAGAACCTCGAACACAAGTACATCGATTCAACCTGCCACACTTTACCCTAAACAAAGATACATGGGAAAATGAAGCTAAGTAAAAATATTGAAGCTTCAGATGACGACGTTAAAGAGTCCGCATCTCAATCACTGATTCTTATCATCTCAAGGACCCCCAGTCAGGTAGTCTACACCTCCTCAAACGGTCTGGTTACCTCGAACCCTCTTCCAACATCAGAAATGCACCAGTTGACTTGAGTTCAGTCGAAGAAAAAAGTCTAATATGAACTGGAAAATTAAATGTGAAGATAATAATTCGTCGAAATAAATTTACAAATAAGTTAGGTGCACAGTTGGGTGGTAAGCAATGAGTCACACCTATTGTGTGAGGGACTAGTGATACTACTACCTGGCTGCTGAAATCTCGATAGGTGAAGCTGTGTTCAAACCCGTGGTTCATTTGGTTGAAAGTCAACTCTCTAAAGCAATGATCCACAACTCCACAATGATTTAACTATCATCCATCAGGCGAAATTCATGAACATCATCCTAGAATTAAATTATATGATGTGTACAAATATCTCTATTCTAACAGTTAATCGAGAAATCTTGAAATGCCATACAATAAAGTTACAGCCTTTTTATTAGTAATGCAATCTCACTTTCATTCAAGTTTCATAAACTTGATTGCGTTGTGTTCTCTGAGCTAGGTTGTTTAATTGTGAAGCTTTCATCGTCTTTCTAGACAACATCATGACCAAATTCTCAACTACAGTAGTAACAACCCAACAACGCACAAAATTAATTGCATGCAGACTGTATTCAGAAGAGCGAGAACACACTGCAGTACAACAACTTCACAGAGAAACGAAGAAAATCATTTGATGTCTATCCTAAAGAAGAATGGCTACCCATGAAACTTTATCAGAGATGCCTACCCCGTACATCATCAACTACAAAGTCATCGACAGAAATCAGTAAACGCATCATCCTACATCAGTACATAAGGAATATATCAGAAATCACTACAAGATTACTGAGACAACTTGGAAGTGGTATGGCTCATAAACCAACAAATCCCTCCAAACACTATTATGCAAACCAAAGGATGCAACAACCAAAAAAGATAAGCCGAATATCATCTACAAAATCAACTGCAATAACTATAGTCAACACTACATTGGACAAAGTGGTCACCCTCTTCACCTTCGTCTACACGACCACCAATTGGCTATTAAACGTCATGACGTTTCATCACTCATTGCGATCCACGTGCATAACAACTATGGACATGAATTCAGTTTCGACAATGTAGAAATTTTGGACAGAGGAAACACAAAGAATGTCATCAGAGAATTCCTAGAAGCTTGACATTCAGGTCAGTCAGCAATTAACAGATGTATAGACACAGACCCAATCCATCAACCAATAAGAAAGATGACAAACGACAGAAAGGTCAGAGGTCAAGCAGAACAACAGCCAACACGAAAATCTATGCAGTCAATGACACAACAATCAAAGGAATTAACCAATCACAAACTAGTTGGTCAGGGTAAGCTACTAAATGAGTCACGGAGAGATATTCATAGCTCACTTCATACTTAGGTTAGGGGTGATGATGTCTAGAGAGACGATGAAAGCTTTACGATTAAACAACCTAGCTCAGAGAACACAATACAACCAAGGCCATCGACTTGAGCTACAAATATTCTCCACTATTTCAGTTTCATATGCATCACGAACAGTGACGAATAGAGTAAATACAAAAACCGATTTCGGAAAATTACTGTAGAATGTGGTCAACCTGGGGCCTATCGGTCTAGGTAAACGAATTTCGACTGATGGATCGTAGGTTCAGATCCGACTCCACCTGCCGAGGTCTGGACAGTCGGTCAGGCCTTATACGATAGGTGTGACTTTGTCTACTGGATGAACTTCCACGTGGTTTCTCGGTGCATTTCAATCAATAAAATATAGATTAATAACAGAATTTGACAAAAAATTATATCGTAAGTTAGTTGATAGAAGACTGAGCCAAAAACCTGGTGTTCGCTGGTTCCAACTCTGCTATGGTTCAAGTTTTCATTTCACCTTCAATTATCACCCAGTCAAACCATGGTTATCTCAAATAGTGAAATTGACAAGCAAAATTATCTGGTCAGTAATAAGACCCATAAAAGTACATACAGAAAAAAAACAGTAATAGAAAGTAGGAAACAGATTTGCAGGTGAATATATTTTACCTCAATAATAATGTCTTCAAGTTACGAAGATGTTCAATTTCATCTGGTAACGCTGACAAGTCATTATCGTGCAACTATTTCAAAAGGAAGAGAAAAGTGTTTAGTACTGGCAGAAGAATGAATTCGCCGCGGTTTCAATAACTAAATATACAAGGGAATCATGCAAAACAGACTTTCAACAAACAACGTTGTTTCAGATAGAATGTCACTTCCAAAGTAGTTGTCATCATGGATTAACATCTGTTCTACGTCATGTAATCCAGCACGCTACCTCCTATAACAAGAAGTCATCAGAAACCACCAGCTCACATTCAAGCACTATACAAAATGTTTTCCCCTTCAAACAAAATAACTATCGCTATAGTCATACGATGGGTTATAAAGATGGCTTTTACCGCCAACACAGTGATCTCCTGGGAATTATGGTTCAACCTCGATCAATACCTTACACGAAGTTATTTCAATATAAGTGACTTTTATTCTCTGTAGTCCGGCTTATATACGCAGTTCTGATGTTCCATACTAAACATAGGGTGCTTTGGTATATATATATATATATATATATATATATATATATTATCCAGGACACTTAGTGTTTTTTCTCTGTCCATGTAATAAGAAAGTAAGAAAGCACCCACCTAGTTTCAATGATTTGGTTTTGTATTTTCCTTTCTCGGTTATATACTTTTCTAGTATACTTTATAACCTAGTTGAATGGGTATATTGCGTCACAACTTCATGAGCAAGTTGTTCATATGCTTTCTGAAGTTTCCTTTAATTCAAGACTTCATGAAGTCTTTCCTTCTTCGACAATATTTATTTTAAAGTGTTTAGTATGAGTGAAAGTCAAGGGATTTATCGGAACGTGTACCTTTCGGCAGACATCAATGCCAGTAAACCGTTATTACTTCGTATAGCTCTGGAGTCCAGGAAAATTAAACTTTTAGACTTCGTTACTGGCTTGTAGGTGAATTTTATACAATTGAATCGATTATTTAGATATCTGAAAAGTATGTCCAGAAATTAACCTTCGGTTACGCAGTTACCATCCACGTAGCTCCATTCTATTCTTGGTTTTTAGTCATGTGCATCTACAAGTTAGCTAAAAATGAGTGACACATAAGAGCCCCATGCTAAAACACATCACAAAAAGAACACTGATCAGCGTCAGTGTAAGAACACCACAGATTTCAATAATAATGAAAATATACAGTCAAATTTCCAGATGAAATAGAATTAAACACGAATGAGGTTTTTTAAAAACTTACATCTAAGTGAGTCAGTGTATCTAATTTGCGTATGCTACCTTCAATAGCAGTCAGATTATTCGAGGCTAAAATCAGCTTTGTAATCGGTTGTGTTTCCCACCAACGAGTATCTCCAGATGGATTATCAAAGTCAACAGTTTGATGATTTGACTCAGGTGGTAAGGGTGTGTTTAATTCCCATACTATGCTTGGTACTATAAATAGGAGGGGGGCAGGGGGGGGAATAGCAAAATAAAACAAAACATTTAATAGTCTATTTCTCTTAGTCTAGGGGCAATGCAAATCAATCATATTTTACTTTTATGATGTTTTGGATGAAGTTTGATTGGATCTCTAGGTATAGTGGAAATAAACTGACTACAAGTCTTTGATGACATGGTTTAAATCAATTACAGTGGTGACTTACACTTCGGTCTCCTGAAAAAAATCTTTAACATCACAACAGACTATATTTGCTTTGATCCCTCGTTAACCTTATCTATCTTGTCGACTGTATCATCTTTTCATTACTGTACTGTACTTTTCAACTGAGTAATACATCTGAAATTGATTGATTTCACAAGAAGACCCATCCATAAAATAATATCAACCTGGCACTGGAGCACTGAATATCATCCCAGTAACTGAAAGGTTATAGTATTCCTTATGAAGTCTCAGATTATCGATTCTGATCCTGTTAGAGATAGCATGTTTGTGCTATGAATTGTGGTAAGTTGAACTGATTCACCTTTGTACTAGGTTCTACGTTGATTTGTTTGTCTTTTCGAATGAAACCTAATTGAATTACCGTTGCATAAGAGGTGGTTATCGTGCCTTAGTGGTTTAGTGGATAACGCTCTATCGTTTAAAGCAACGAATACGAGGTTTAAGTCTCAGTGAGAACAACACTCACTGGGGTGCAGGTACATCCACAGCTGATGAGTCCAAAATAGGATGAAACGCGCGTCCTGAATTTCTGTGCTAGTCACCAAGATCAATCTAATTAAATTACACTTAAATATTCGAATACTGAAAACATCTGATGCACTCAAATTATGAATGAAACGCGCGATTTCACAGGCCACAATTCAACTACAGAAATATTCTAAATTAGTACGTTTAATGGCAAAAATCAAACCTAACCGTGACAAGTAAACTATCCTATGACAATCACAGGTAAAATAGATTGATAACATACTGTATGTGCCTGTGTGTGTGTTTATATGTTTACAAAGATTCGTTTACGAATGTTAGCCAATGAATTGCCATCACCTTGCAAGAGGTCATCAAAACATACTTTTTTTGAGGGAGTTGTGGAGATTTGGAAATATTTCAAGTTGTTATTCATCGTAGACTGACATCAGTTGAAGGAATAAAGGAAACCTCGGAGCACTGGAAAGCTGTTTCGTCCTAGTATGGGTAACGCGCTGGTCACGGAACCTGAAGGTCGCGGGTTTGATCCCTGCTGGTGTAGGGTCGTGGTGCGCACTGCTGAAGAGTCCCATAATAGGACGAAACAGCTGTCCAATGCTCTCAGGTTTCTTTTATTCCTCCAACTGATGTCAGTCTACGATGAATAACAACTTGAAATACTTTTTTTTATTTGATGCTTACCAGATTCAAGATGTCTGTTGGATAGATTCAGTATTCCACATTGTTGTGCATGAATATACAGTTTTTTATTTAGAACACTAGCGTTATTCTTTGATTCAACTTTTACTCCTTTCATAAAATCAAAAGTCATCATTTTCAGCAATAAGAAACAACTATTTTCCTCAAGGTTCAACGACTTCTGAGAAAAAAAGTGATCTAAATAAATTTGGAAACATTTTATAACAAAGAAAAATGTTAATATTTTGTTGATGTAATTCACATAATGCATGAAAAAGTATGAAATAAATAAAATCCAACGATTTCTATTACAGACGATTATTGGAAGTGGTGTTGAAAAAATTCACAATAATATACATACATTACAGTGACTGACATTTAAAAATCCTAATGATTAAAGAGTAATAGGTCAAAGTTTTGATTCAATAAAGAATTTCATCCTACGCTATTATGATAAGCACAACTGTATACAGCACCCAAACCTCAGAATTTAGGGGTACTGGATGCAAACTGTGGCCCAAAACGATTCATCATATGATGAATCACACATGTGGTACATCATCATTATCAACATAGGACCAGGCATTACTGCGTAACGGTCCGAGTTGCCACACCTCATATCAGCACATCAAGTAAAAAGGTAGTGAGGTGAAGGATGAAGATAAGTGAATGCAGTCAAAAGAAATATAAAGTACGAGAAGAAAGGAAAGAGGAGTGACAAAATAGTGAGATTCGGTATAGCGTTGTTAAGATGAGGATAATGTGTGTATACACCTACGCCACTGACATTCGGTTCTGAGCCATGTGATCACCTAGGGTCTCCAACCACTGGTTCCTCTTGTCCCGCGAACAGACACCAACCACCTAGTCTGCATCGCTCCTACATGGCTTAAACCAACAGTCAGAGACTTCATACATTGGTGCCATGTTTCAGTCTGGCCACCTCGGGCCTTTTTCCAGCCTGAACCCACCTCAGCCAACATTGTGTGACGAGGCAATCGGTGACTAGGCATACGTAGTACGTGTCCCAACCCATCTCACTCGATGAAGGTTCACAACCTCGTCAACTGACTTACCTCTTCTCCCCAAAACTCTACACCTAACTTCTGCATTACTCACGTGGTGTGGTGACACCACGGAATACGTCCTATACTACGAAGGCAACGGTGGTCAAATACCTGTAACCTTCTCATGTCTTCCACTTTCAATGGCCATGTACACATGTGGTACACAGTCGTTTAATAGCTTATGGAGAGTTTTTATGTGAGTTGACGACAACCTGTGGTATCCGCCAGGGATGCCCACTATCACCATCCCTATTTAACTTCATTATAGGTGTACTAATGGACATAATACTAGGTACGCTTGACTTCATAGGGATCAATCTGCTCCCTGGAGGCCATACACTTGACTTGGAATAAGCAGACGATATTATCCTGCTCAGTGAAAATCCCGACAAAATGTAGGGTTTTCTGAACACCTTGAGCAGGAATCTCAGTAATGTTTACCTGTTATGAGTTTCGCATCTTTCAAATATGCTTTTATGTTTCAGAATTGGTGTGCAACTACTCCCGGCTTATAATAGGGAGTGCAATGGTGAAAAGCACTGACCACTTCAATTACTTGGGGAGTTGCATCAACCCGAACAAGCCGGTTACTGACGGAAGCTCAGCTTCAATACTATACAGCGTTGCAGTTTGCTCTGTCTTCGTAGCATTACTCGCGCATGTTTGGATCTCTGTGTGAACTTCTGGGTTAGGCGAAAGGTATACTAGGCAAGGAGAAGTATGTTGTTCGATGACGTTATGAACCTTTAACGACTGAGATGCCTTGGATATGGACTGCGCATACCAAGCCACCGCCTATCTCGACGTTTTATGCTAGGGGAAGTTGAAATGAGTTGGAAGAGGGTTCATGGAGGCCAGACCAAGACGTGGCACTAATCGATGAAGTCTATGACTGTTGGTTTGGTTTGGGGACATATAGACTGCCTGGTTGGGGTCTCCAAGACGATGAAAACCAGTGATTGAGAAATCGTAGGAACATACCTGAAACTTAGTTACGCAGGTACAGATGTATTCATCCCTTCACATCTTCTGAAGCTTGACTATTTTTACTAACTTTCACTTCCAAACTCCTGTCACAACTTTGTCTACTTTGATACCACTCTTATTCTATCCACTTTTTCTTTGTGTGCTGTTTTGAGGTGTGGTGACTTTAACTGATGCACTTATGTGAGTGGTTATACGTTGATTTTCTGTCTCTATACCTGTAATAGGCGCGGTTAAAAAGGATAACTAAAACTGTGATATATCATCTTTTGCATCTTATTAAGTCAAAACGGAGCAAGGAATACGTCAGGAGAAATAAATCCAAGATAAAAACATGAATATAAAAACTTAGGATTTTCCAACTAGAGTGAGGCACATCTCAAAAAATCCATCCGAAGAGTACAATCAAGAGGACAATGAACCAACAGAGAGGTCTTTTGGAAAAAACTTAGCATAGGCCTTTTAGGCCTACAGTCATACCTAAACTATAGACGCGGAAATAAAAATATGAAAGCACCAACAGAGAAAATCACATACTGTGATGTATCTCCGAGTATACTGAAGAACTGAGAATACAGAATAGAAAGAAGAGCTACAGAATCCCAGAATAGTTCGATTGTGTTCTTTACGAGCACTGGGTCCGTAAGCCCAGCCAGTAGATGGACAAACGATATAGCCTAGTTAGAAAATCCACAAATATGCTTTAAAACCGGCACACTTCTTGTATATCCATCCTCCCAGGTTGCTTCAAGTAACCCTTGACTCTCCATAAATGGTCAGAACAAGCCTGAAGTCATGGTATAATAAATCAGACACTTTCCCTAGCGAGTGTAAACTCAGGGGACGAAGGCAAACTGGGGGATCCAAGGACTTTCTACTTGCCAATCCGCGTCTAACGACTGTGGTTGAAAAAAGACGAGGAATTTTTCTCTACGGTGACCTAGACCCAAGAATTCTGTATTGACTCTCAAACAAGGAGTATCTAGGACTTGTCTACTCTTAGTTTTGTTCCCTCACTAGTAAAAAACTAGACAAACAAAAGGCAGGCTACACAATCACATTGACTCAATTAAATGCTGCGATTCTGGGTTTGTATACTCTCATTCACTGTATCTATAGCAATGTGCGATGTTTCTGCTCCATGATACCTGAAATGAGGTCATTAGTTGAGGAGGATCGTCCTAGCATAGTGAGACAGCTCATAGATGACGCAGGTGATGAAATTCTTCTTGCGGAGCTTAACCCAATTTGCAAGATGAGAGAACTCACGAGGCAGTGCTGCACTTTACACCTGCCCTTCGTTAAAAGATCATGAGATTTCCTCCCCATAATCAGTACGAAAGATATAGAATTAAGTGTTACAGGGGTTGCTGCTTGGTTGGAGTTTTAAACCACTATCCAGAAGCCCCTGCAACATTTGATAAGATGATACAATCCATTAGAGGAGCCCTAGATTCGAAGTTTCCTCAAGTCTTCACTATAGATGATTTCAACTTTCGTTAGCTTTTCATCGCCACAAGTTCATCCTCTCTCTTTAAGAAACTATTAGCGGAAAACTGCTTGACTGTGTGCTCGCTAAGGTTCTGATGACAAGGCTTCCCAGCTAATGTTACCATTCAGTCCATCGGTGCATCCAGCTTAATTGTCCTTTAGTCCTCTGGGTCCCTTTAACATTTTTATATCTAAATCACCTATCCCAGACCAACCACTAGTCAAAAAGTATAGGAACACTGACTAAGAAAAGACCAGACAAGAAACAGGTCCCACTTGTTTAAATTTCGATGATGGTAGACGGGAACTATTGAAGAGGACAATACTCCAAACGACTAACAAGAACACTCTGATTTTTCCCTGAAGTAGAAAAATTTACTTCCTGGCTTAAGTCCAGCACTCATATGCTGATAGAGTTTAAGCAGTTAGCTTGAAATCAATGGAGCGTCTCTAATAGCACCAAAGATTGGAAAAGTCACAAGGATATCCATAACTGACAGATGGATAGTAAAAGTCAGGAAGAAAAGGGTAAAGTGCTAAGCACATCTGTGTAGAACGCTGAAGGGGAATCATGGGGGATTGTACTCACTGAAGAAGAGAATAACCTTATACTGAGAATACAGGTCCTTAGTAGTTCAGTGATCCATTACCCTGACTCTGAGGTAGCAAACTTGCTAGCTCAGGAATTCCAAACTAATTTCTTTCAAGTGGAAAGGAAAGCTATACACTAGGAAGACACTCGGAATGAAAAAGAGTTCGGCTGTATAGAATTCGGACCTCGAAATCAGCGAAGTTTTTAGGAGCTTAGGTCCTAATATATCCTCAAAAATTGACGGCATTCAAGCAAAAGTACTCGAAGAGCGTACCGATGTCTTAACTATCCCACTAGTAAACCTCTTCAGACATTCATTTCTAGAAGGTAGATTGCCCTCTGACTTGAAACGAGCTGTCGTTGCAATACTATAAAGATGGTAATAAACTACCTACCTCTAACTATAGACTAATTTATTTGGTCTCTTCAGTTGCGAAGGCTATAGGAGGAATAGTGAATGACTCGTTCCGCAATTATTTATGTAGGAAGTCAATCCTAACCGACTGTCAACATGGATTTTTATTTGGAAGGTCATGTAACACCAGCTTGTTGATAACATGAAATAGTTGGATTCTCTCCGGTGAGCAGGAAAAAACCCCTCATATTAGGTTACTTGACTTTTCTAAAGCCTTTGACAGGGTTAATCATGATATCTTGTGTAAGAAACTTCAGTTTATGAGGATGCACACGAAGTTATTCAGTTCTCTTACGGAATACCAAAAAAGTTGGTTACAATCAGTTATAGTTGGCTACACCTTGTCTTAAGAGCTTCCGATGCTGAGCAGGGTACCTCAAAGTTCCATTCTTGATCTACTACTGCTTGTTTATATAACTGACTCACTAGAAAACCTAGGTCCTCACTCACTATTATATGCTGATTTCAAGATTTGGATGGAGATACATTAGCAAAAGAATATCTTGGCTCTACAGGAGGACCTTTCTAAAATCGTTAGTTGGACAAGCAAAAACCTACCTCAAAACGGAGAAGTGTAGGATGATGTT